CAATTTTACCTGCTCAAAGTTAGGCTAATTTTTAAAAATTTTTATTCCAAAGTTTCGAAAAGGGTTAAGTATGTATCAAGAGCAAGTCTCGGACTACAAAGTATTAGGTTGTCCCAAAAAACCGTATTTTTGCATAAATCAAACTGTTCTCGTTTTTCTGGCAGACTTGGGGCACCATTCGATAGAGCGAAGCAAGCTCTACAAAACGACTACCAAAGAACCGTCTAAGTCGCTATCTAGGTAAATTTTGGATCCAAAAATCGAAATTTTTCAGCCATCCTAAAAATCGAATCTCCTTCCAGAAAATCCCTACGGACTTCCAACTTGGCCCCTATATAGTAGACACATAGTAGTATCGAAAAATAATTTTGGTTGATTTCTTCCGGAGTTCAAAATTGAGAAACAAAGGGGGTCCCAAAATGCCAAAATGCCACTTTATTTGGGTTTTTTATGTAAAACTTCGTATTTCTCGAATAAAAGAGCACATACAGGGGTAGAGTTTTCAAATTGTACTTACTAAGGCTTGTAGTATACAACCACACATGTGGGAGGGGATGCGGGCGGAGTTTGCCATTTTTAGACAATCTTTGTTTCTCGCTTTCTATGCTCGGAAAAAATTCGGCAAAAGCTTATTTGAGTACTAAGTACTACTATGTGCCTACTGTATAATGACCAAGTTGAGGGTCCGTAGGGTTTTTCCTCGCGAAAATCTAATTTTCAGGTGAAAAGTTTTTTTTTCGATTTTAGCTTCAAAGTTTACATGGAATGCGACTTAGGCGGACCCTTGGTGGTCATTTTGCAGAGCTTCCTTCGCTCTATCAAATGGTACCCCAAATCTGCCAGGAAAACAAAAATAGTTTGATTTATTTAAAAATACGGTTTACTTTTGGGACAATCTAATAGTAATTTTAGATTCTCCTAATCTGTTATTTTTAGCTTCAAGAAATTTTTTCTCCGGGGGTATCCAGTTTTGGCAAAGTCATGAAACACGCAACTGCATCAAATACACGAAAGCCTTTCTAGTTTCTGCGTATAGAAATATGATTCTTATTAGGCATTATTTAAGCAATATAACCAACTTTGATTCGCTTTGAAAAAGCAGCTTTTTGGATTTTTTGGTTTTTTTACCTGTTAAACATAATCAGAAAGCCGGGGTTTTTGTTAAATAAATGATTATAATGGACTTGGTAAACGCGGCTCATTTAATCTAAAATGGAGGCAATGTAGCCAAAGGTTTGATCTACATAACAGTTACCAGCACTCTTTGAAAACATCAGAATAAAAAATTCTAAAATTCGGGAAAGATTTCGCGTTACATTTGAGCTGCTCAAAAAGCCTAGCGATAACATTGTCACGACAGAGGATAATGAGGAGCAAGTAAACTGTAAGAAAGAGAATAAAAATCTGAATCAAATGGTACCTAGGCCGTCCATGGATTGGTGTTCTGTGAGTTTTAGTGAGCGGTGAAGGAAACCGACAAAACTTTCGGGACAACCTAATACATCAACCTAATATTAGGTTGAACCGAAAGTTCTGTCGCACTGTTTCCAAAAAATCATAACTTCTTTCCGTCACGACGATTTTGCGCAATTCAAATTTTGTCTGAAATCGTAAAGCATGTAGTTTTCAAAGGTTTCTGGGGACTTTTCAATAGCTCACGCTGCAGAGACAAAATGAAAGAATGAGATAATCCGAAATTCGGCATTTTTAAGCAAAAATTCTGAAAATTTAGAAACTGTGCGATAAAATCCAGAACAGCCATCATCCTAAGTTTTCTTATATTTTATTACTAGCTAAGTCAAATTTGTGCTGATCGAGGTTTTCTTTCAGAAGTTACGATTTTTTGAAAAACAAATGCTGAAAAATCAATTTCCTAAGAATTCTTGAGAAATCGATTTTTCGGCATTTTTTCAAAAATTCATAATTTTTGAAAGAAGACCTCGATTAGCACAGACTTGACTTAGTTAGTATAAAATACCAGTGCGTCACCTCTGCTTCGCAGAGGCTCGCACTGGCTCTACTTTCTAGCCCCTACTCATTCTCGCATAATGATGGCATTGGAACTCACCAAGCAATGCCCACTATCAGGAACAAAATGTAAACAACTACTCATTCCTAAAGCTTTTTTATGTGAAATCGGTGATTTCGCGTGGATGAGACTTTTTGCACGAAAACAAACGCAAATTTTTGTAAGTTTTTGATTTTCCCATGTTCTTGACTGTTGCAAGAAGAACAGCAGTCACCGTCAGCTACATCTTTGTGCAAAAATCTCGTCAAATGCTCTGATACAACCTTGGCAAATTGACCATTTACACAGCCAATACTTTTTGGCACCGTTTTTTTTTCAAGTAATGGACTTTTGATCACTTTCTTTGTGCCTAAGTTCATGGCTTGCACATCTACTTGGCATGAACATCCACGACCCTGCAAAAAGTGGAATTACGGACCCAATTTTGCGGCCCAAATGCAAAGTGGATTCGTTTGAGGCGCAGTTTCTGAGGGATCCACTCAACGAATCTGCTCGTGCTTTTGCATGCTGGACGCTCATACGGGTAGCATGGCTGTGCAAAATCTGAGCCCAGGAGGTTGGCTGGAGCATGCTCTAAGAATTTCGCAACAGACACACTCACAGACACACAAAGTCACGTAAACATCCTTATCCCGTTATTATAAGTAATGATAAGAAAACTTAGGATGATGGCTGTTCTGGATTTTATCGCACAGTAACTAGATTTTTAGAATTTTTGCTTAAAATTCCGAATTTCGGATGATCTCGTTCTTTCATTTTTATCTCTGCAGCCAAACATGGAAAATCCCCCAAAACTTTTGGAAACTACATGCTTTACGCTTTCAGAGAAAATTTGATTTGCTCAAAATCGTCGGGACGGAAAGAAGTTATGATTCTTGAAAATAGTACGTCAAAACTTTCGGTTCAACCTAATAAAAACATCAGGTAATGTGTTACGTAAAGCCTATTCACGCTCCCAGTCACTAAACCCATGGATGCCAAAATTGAAAGAAGTCGAGCTTGACTTCACCACCACTTTTTGATTTGTTTTGATTCCTTCCGCACTAACTCCGCTTATTCTCCACCGTAAGATCACAAACATTGCTGAAACATGCAACACAAACGAAGTCTGTATTGCAAAATGCCCTTCCACACATGTATTAGGCTGCTGCATATAAGTTCATTAAGTTAGTTCATTAGTCAATTTAAGTTAGTTAATTAGTTCATTTAAGTTCATGATCCATTCACAGCGAGAAATTTATCCTCACACACTCCGCGGCTGCGCCGTGACCGTAACGTTTAGGATGGGTCCCAGCGCGAACGCAGTGTTGAAGTGAGCGAATTCGCTTTCGGGTTACGGCCACGGCGCAAAGTGATATTTTGAACAACCGTCTTTGGCAATCGACTCGCAAGTCGATTGTCTCGGAGCCAAGAGGCGGGCTCTAACAGCTCCGAGCACAACAAGGGATGATGGGTCATCCAGGCGTTTTGACGCACATGGAGCGGCCGTCTAAATTTTTACAATAGGAAGTCGCTTACGCTTACGAACAACATTAATAGATTGTTGAGACAGGTACTGAGTATTCTTCGATTGGTCTTATTAGCTCTCAAGCTTCGCGTTCTCAGACGTATGTAGAGAGGCACGCCAAGTCTTGGGTGTACTACAAGTTCTATGTTACATGATAGCCACTGTGCGGTACAATTATAAAGCAAGTCATACATTCACAAGAAGCTGTGTAAAATAATCTCTGTTCTAGCTTGGAAATTTGTTGTAACTCAAGACTTACAGCCTGCTTTTCGTCTCATTCTCGAAATGCAATTCTGTTGCTTCTGCTGCTCACTGTTTCACAGGGGCATTTTGATCATAAGGGCGATCATCTTCCTGTAGTAGAAGAGAAAATCCGCTGTTTGGACCATGTTGGGATAGAATTTGGTCGCATCTCAATCGTTCAGAAATGGCTTTTTTCAATGTGCTTGGCTGTTACTCATATCACATCAGCTCACACGTTCTTTTAGTTGGCTCAAGCACCTTGATATCATACGCATCGCTGCTGCCCCTTTCGGGGACTGATGTCTCAGCCGTGAGTTAACAATTGCGCTGCCCATTGGGCAGTGCTTTAGTCAGGACCTTCTGATCAATTTCCAGGCAAAAAAAACCCATGCGCTCAGATTTGCCTGGACACTGCCTTTACGGCTGGAAACGCATGGCATGCTAAGTTTAAATTTGGCCGTCGGCATGCCACTGACATGCCGACAGCATGCCAGCGTGGGAATCAAACTGTGCCAAGAACAAACAAAAGCCAAAAATCTGCTCCAATCACAAGGCGAAATGATTGAGCCAGGCCAGTTAAAAAGCTCAGAAAACATTCAAAAAATTGTTCAATGATCAGCCTGCGTTAAAACCACATTACTTTAACTCTAGATTGATGGCTCTTCAAAGCACGTCAAAGGGATTTGTACGAAATTTTCAAGATCGAGAAACTTCGTTTTGCAATTTTCCTGGTACCAAATCATGCCGAGCTCTAATCGGGGCGTTAACTCACTTTCCAAAAGAAGCTCGGACGAGAGTTAACGGAATGTCGAAAGGCCTTGGTACGAAAAACCTGCCTCCTGACTGAGCATGCACAATGGGGGAGCGATCGAGATGGTCCCTCGCCGAACAGGCAAGTAAAGCCGTCTGAGTGCGCCGATTTGGGCTGTGCGTGAAGATTAGAGGGTCATTCGGTACAGGGCAACATCATCCAATCAGATTGGGCCTGGAAGTTGAGGAGGTGACAAAATTCCACCACATCCATAACCAACGGGCCCGACGCCGGGACACTGACTCAATATATCCCTGCCAGCTTCAGAGAAGCTTATTGAAAATGTCGTTGACAAGGAAACCGCGGAGGTCGCTCTCCCAACTGATAACACGAAATGGGTGTTTGATTTAAGAAATTGACTTATTCTAAAGCTCTTTGCCAGCCAGGCTGGATCTAACTATACAACGTACCAAACACAAACAATGGGCTGACGATTATTGGAACAAAAGTGGTCGCAATCGCTGTTGTGCCACATATGCAACCGGCAGCGTAGCCTAGAACTTTTCTTCAACTCTTTGTGATAATGATGTTCGATGTCTTTATTTAGTAACCGGAATGTACCTACAGAACCAGAAAGCGTAGCAACCACAATGTTCAACAAGTTGAACTTGAAATATTGATCCAAAGATTTAGAGTATCCTAAATGGCACCTATATATTGTGTTTGCAACACTTTCCTAGAGTGCATAGCTGATCCATCAAACATTCCAATTCAATGACTACCTGCAAGTGAATAAAGTATTATGGAGTAGAGAGTAGGAAATACAAGATATTGTGTTGTCTGAATAAGTTTTGAATAAGGTGTGTATTTGACGCCGATCATTGCTCACATCTGCAGCGTTCATTGCCACAAAAAATGCAGTGGGTGAATATACATTAGCTTGATACTCCCGTACCACAACGGGCAGCTCATCCGCAAAGACCTGGAACGATTAGCAAGTTTACAGAGTAAAAATTTTGCATGTCAAAACGCAGCTTTCGGGATAGGTGGTATGGTCGGGGATCACGATCGATTTCAATAGGCGCCACTCATTTTTTTAATTCTGTGGCTTTCACGACTGCTATATTGATAATATTTATCTCATCTTCAATCGCCAACTTAAGTTGGTACCTTTCCCTTGTTAAAGTTGTTCCAACTAGAAGCATGAAGTTCTTAATCCTCAACGATGTATGAAAGATACGCTATGAAGAAACGATAGGATGGGAGATTACCAACTTTCTATCGGTGCCTCAAAAGTTTTACCCGTTTTTGTATCCCTTTTTCAACTGCTGATCTTGGAAAATAAAACACAATCTTATAAACAATGCTTATATCGTTCGAAACCTTTTTTCTAGTTTCTTATGAATTCTTTCGTTTCCACTGAACTTTGTTCATTCTACGATTTCCTACCTTGGAACGACAGCAGAGCAAATGCGGAAAATTTCATGTTTCCTCTGGTGTCGTGAAATCTACAGTTAGAGCAGAAAAAACATATTTGGGACATGATTAATGTCTGATTGGGACTTGTGCTACAAATCGCATGTAGGGACATGAAATTAGAAAAATTTTGGACTCAAAATTTTTCGGCGGAAACATGACCGATCGTTGTTGTAGTCCCAGTAAATTGTATAAAATTATGAGCGCAATGCAATCATAAAACTTTCGCTCTATATAGTGAATGTAGAACCTGAAGTTGTGATACTACAAACGAATAAGTAGATTGTATGTCTCCTTTTTGTAAAACCTTGGCATGTTTTGTAGATATTGTTCAATTGTTTTGAGCCGTAACAGATTTTTAAAGGAACACTTTATTTACTGCCCGACGTTTCGGCTGAATGCCGTCTTCAGGGGCCTGAAAGCGAGTCAATCACTCTTTAATCAAACGATCTAGACCACCAGACACTTCCTCCAAATCGTACATTTGACTCATCTATTGTGACGCAGATAAGTTCTCAAGTTGAACAGCTTACCAAGTGTTCCTGGTGAGGAGCGTAAGGGTGTTAGCTCTCTCTCACGGTCGCCCACAGCAGATGATGACAAAATGAGCGGTCCGAATAAGTACGAAACGCTTAAATAGTGTAGGCTACTCATAGCTCGCAAAATGGTAGAAACGGCTTCAGATCACTAGTGATAGACAAATGTTCGTTCTTGCTGTTCATTTTAGGATTACGAGCAAGTATGAATGAAGCCTCTAATGCTTTTCGAGCAGCAATATGTTCTTCGACAGCCAAAATGCAACACTGGATTTCAAAATCATCTCCTCCATGGTCCTCTTTCCTGTGCTTTCCAAGAGGGCTTACGAGACTTTGCCTTCTCTTACTCGCCACATGTTCGCTGACACGTACATGAAGTGGTCGACCAGTTTCGCCTATGTAAATGGCATGGCATATCTTACATTCTAGCTGGTAAATCACTCCGCATTTCGAACAGTCTCCTAGCCTCTCATTTGTGCAAACAACGCAGTTTTGCATTACGCATTGTCTGTCATACAATCTATTGCGGACCAATTGCTTTTTGATGTTGTCTTGGGGTATGTTCACTGTTCACTGTTCACTCTGTCCAATGTAAAAGGGTACTTCCTCCTATTCCTTTTCCACCATCCTTTTACAAAGAGACCGATCCTTGTCATGAAGCGGATGTTAAATTTCGTATACTGTCGGCAGGAATTTTGAATGTTCTTAACAAACATCGTGGTATGAAACAGTCTAATTTAACATATGCGCAAAGGCAGGGTTTCAAGGAGCTGCGTGAATTGACTTCCAACGGCCTATTCGTCTCACTGTTAGTGACAAGGGAGGCGAGTTCGTTATTATGCCGCAAGCGCTCGATATCGCAACATAACTGAACTTCATCTATCAGATGCTACAGTTTATCGTTGCTCAACCGAAAAAGAATTCCTTTCTCAAAGCAAGCGACTCAATCACATCTGGATGATGATCGGAAAGCAAGCGGGACTAGATGAAAAGTTTCTCAGTAGGCTTAAAATTGAAAATCCGGCTTGTCCTGTCTTTTATGGCCTCGTAAAGACACACAAACTCGACTTGACTGATCCACGAGATGTGACCGCTGCGTCTTGCAAAATTCGACCAATAATCAGCTGTGTAGGTGGGCCAACTGACAGAATTTCGTGGTTCCTTAGCAAGATCGTTAGTCAACTCTTATGTAAGATCCCCGCCCATTTGCCGAACACAAGCCGCTTCCTTGATCAACTACGCAAAACGCACTTTGACCAAAATTGCGTAATGGAGTCATTTGATGTTACGTCATTATACACTAATGTGTCCAATAATGACGCCTTACAAGCGCTCTCTGAGCTGCTCGATTCACATATTACCAATATGGAAACATACGGGCTCAGTAAAGCGCGCATCATCTCCTTGGTCAAGGAATGCCTGGCATGCAACGTCTTCAAATGGTCGGGACAATATTATGCACAACTAAGAGGACTAGCGATGGGACAAAGACTAGCGCCCGCGCTCGCTATTTGCTTTATGAGCAAAATAGAGGAGCCGGTATTATCACGATGTCCCCTGATGTACTGCCGTTACATCGATGATTGTTACATTGCTACTGCAACTCAATCCGAAATGGATGACTGCTTTAGAATCCTCAATGAACAATCACGGTACATCAGCTTGACAAGACAGAGACCACACGATGGCTGGCTACCATATCTAAATACACAGGTGATGTTGGAAAACGGAGCAGCACACGTCAAATGGTATCGGAAGGAGAGTTCTAAGAATATAATTCTGCATGCCACATCTGCGCATCCATCTGCTGTAAAACGAGCGATTATTCGCAATATGTTTGAAACAGCGCGCGATGTTTGCAGCGGTGAAGTTGAAAGACTAGAATCTACGAAGCTGGCGTACGAGATAGTTGTCAAGAATGGTTACCAACTGCAGTCCAGATCTCGCAAGAGAACATGCGCGAACGCTAGCAGTCAGACTCGACCACGTATATCGCTATGCTTACCGTTCGTGTCCGATAGAGTAAGCAACGCTTTTAAGCAATGTCTCGTACAAGCGCAATTGGCGGATGATGTTGTTTTAGTGAACATACCCCAAGACAACATCAAAAAGCAATTGGTCCGCAATAGATTGTATGACAGACAATGCGTAATGCAAAACTGCGTTGTTTGCACAAATGAGAGGCTAGGAGACTGTTCGAAATGCGGAGTGATTTACCAGCTAGAATGTAAGATATGCCATGCCATTTACATAGGCGAAACTGGTCGACCACTTCATGTACGTGTCAGCGAACATGTGGCGAGTGAGAGAAGGCAAAGTCTCGTAAGCCCTCTTGGGAAGCACAGGAAAGAGGACCATGGAGGAGATGATTTTGAAATCCAGTGTTGCATTTTGGCTGTCGAAGAACATATTGCTGCTCGAAAAGCATTAGAGGCTTCATTCATACTTGCTCGTAATCCTAAAATGAACAGCAAGAACGAACATTTGTCTATCACTAGTGATCTGAAGCCGTTTCTACCATTTTGCGAGCTATGAGTAGCCTACACTATTTAAGCGTTTCGACTTATTCGGACCGCTCATTTTGTCATCATCTGCTGTGGGCGACCGTGAGAGAGAGCTAACACCCTTACGCTCCTCACCAGGAACACTTGGTAAGCTGTTCAACTTGAGAACTTATCTGCGTCACAATAGATGAGTCAAATGTACGATTTGGAGGAAGTGTCTGGTGGTTTAGATCGTTTGATTAAAGAGTGATTGACTCGCTTTCAGGCCCCTGAAGATGGCATTCAGCCGAAACGTCGGGCAGTAAATAAAGTGTTCCTTTAAAAACCTGTTACGGCTCAAAACAATTGAACAATATCTACAAAACGAATAAGTTTTCCCATTTGTAAGCCAAGAAGAAAAATACAGAAAATGCATTTTCTTCCACCGTAAAAAAAAGCGAAAGGAGTGAATTTGTTGACTTTTCCCGCAGAAATTCACAAATAAATTAGGTGAAATTTGAGGCTAGCAGTGCTACTTAGCCGCCTATGACTACACAAAGAGCAAGCGTTTGTGCTATTCTACCTAGTTTCATAGCAAGTAACAGTTAAATCTTTCTCATTGTTGCTGCAAGAATTTTGGAGTATTCGTCTGCCAAAGATTGATGTCAAAGATTTGTAGATTCTAACGCAGTTTATTGCATTGCTTATCAGTTCTCAACGGAGTTTTGTCAAATCGAATTTGAAGTTGGAAACGAGTGGAACTTCGAACTCAATATTAACGTTTTGAAAAGTATTAATATTTTGATTAAAATTAATATTATTGATTGCCAACGGTATATCAATATTTTGAACCTTAAACGCTTTGCTTTCACATAGCGAGCAGATTGATTCCCTTAGAGATCAAAGTATTAGGAAAGTAATGTGCGTTTCTTGTTCTCATCTTACGTGCTATAACATTTTTGGAAAACTAGAATTTTTGATGCGATAAGGACCATAAGGCAGCAAACCTTCCGCAAAACAGCGCAAATCTTCCTGTAGTCATATCACAAACGGGTATAGGAAATATCGACTGATAAGCAAAAAAGTTTTTTTTAAAGCTCTTTTCAAATGATCATAACTCCTTTCAAAATTCTTTGGCATAAATGCTGAGTGGCCTATCTTGTAACCGCAAGCCATAGTACAGAAGAATATAGATGGCACTTGAACAAAGAAGATTTGCGAAAAAAATCATCCAAAATTGTCGGCTTTTTCCAGCCTTTTTCGTAGGCTTTAAAGTCCTAGAACATGCTTATTAATTTTTTGCGTACTAAAGAAATAAACGTGTTTGCAAAATTGTCTATGGGAGGCCTAACCTTTGATTAACATTGATATTATACATTCTTATAGAAATAAGCAAAGCTTTGGCGAATGCATTCTTTAAAAGTGATTTATGGACCACAGAATGACCAAAACGAAAAACCATCACCCATGTTGAGACGCTGATTCTCAGTCTAGGTAATGTCTAAGAAAATAGGAAAGTGTGCACAATGTAGACAAGTTTACTAAATATACTAGCTGAACTTTGAAAAAAAAAGATCTTCATTCGCGTTTGAATTTTGGTCAGAACAGTAAATGCAATCAAATTCTGATTTCGAGTGCGGTTGTGTGAAGCTCTGCAAGTTTCAACGAATGAGTCTAGAAGCTTGTCGACTGATAGCTTGCTAAGTTTCCACAAAGAAGTAAGATTGATGGAAAAAAGTTGTCCTGAAACCGGGGCTAAAAAACCTGCGTCTTTTTTGTACCAACAATACCCTTTGGGCCAAGATTCATTTGCTAATTTGACGCAAACTAGGCTCAGCTAGGAGGATCATTTGCGCATGATAGACTGTTAGCTGCACACTCACGAAGTGTCTTGAAAAACTTGTCAACATCCCAGCAGGACATTTTACTTGTAATAATTAGAGCCAAAAATCGGAGAGAAAGTCCGAAAGAAACCAATAAGTTTTGTTTTTCACTTTAGCTCAAACATAGTTTACAAGAATAATAGGAGATGCAATGCACGTTTTATGAATTTCAACTCCTAATCAAGGATAACACTTTTCCGAAATCATCTTCTCGAGCGCAATAAAAATCACTGCAAACAACAAACCTTTGACTATAGAACGCATGCTTTTGTTGGATCGCAGCCACTTTAAGAAAGATTTTAGCCTAAAAAATTCCCGAACATTTTTTCAGAAACCTATACTTTAGAGAGCTCAACTTTCGCTTAAATGTACTAGGATTGCGCGGACTTTGCTCATTATATAGCCGATGGTCGGTTGTGCAATGGAGTGAAGTTTGAATTTTACGGCATAGTCCTGTGAGAAATTTTTGCAAAAAAAAACTGAAAGTACCCATTTTTTTCAGTATTTTGGGAAATCCAAAAACTGCCTTTTTGGGATTTTTCGAATCTTTTCTCTTTGAAAAGACGATGAAAATCTGCCATTTTCCTAGTATCATGTTGTACTAGGTCTACTTTACGTGAACATAGCAAAGTTTACAGTCGCTTTTCGCTTGAGACTTCTATGCGGCTTAGATGGGCCTCAGCTACCAGCCAAGTTCGAGACAAGATTTCTCGGCTTGGGATTTTTCAAAAATCTCATACTGGCAGCGTTTTGTAGCACAAAGCTTCGCGATCATTACGTATATTTTTTGAAGAAAATCCTTCTTCTTTTCATAGATTTAAAGCAAGGAGAGTGAAGGGAAAGAATTTTATATTTTAAACACTTGTTATTGAAGGCATGAAAGTTCGACTTCAAAAAGATTTGCGAAAACGAAGGCACATGTTAGAAACTAAAGGATTCGGGATTCCCGACACTGTAAGGGGTTTTGAAGAGAAATGTTTTTTTTTGAAGATCAGTTCTCTCAAAAAGAGGTTAGAAAAACGTGCATTAATTATGAGACAGTCTAATATACAGTGTCCCAAAAATGTGCCTACTGTTTGATTGTAAATAACTCTGTTGTAATGAAGTGTTTCGAAAAGCTTAAGGTCCCATTCTGTAAAGCGAGATTAAACTTAGATTTACAGTATAGAGCGAATCACCTATCTCTCTTCATTACTGTAGGATTACGGTGCGAACTTCCAGCATATGAAACGTTGTGAAATAAACCACCAACAAATTTTTTTTTCAAAGAATTTGAAAAATTGTGTGCTAGGGTTTCACGCATGCTGATTCCATCTAACAACTTTTTACGAGTGTTTTCGGCTTTTTTAACGGTGTAATTACATTTCTGACAGATGCTGGAAATTAAGTTATTATGATTTACCGGGAATAATATAGGAGAGAAGCATCACAGTAAAATGGGAATTCAAATTCGAAATCAGCGGCTCCCATTACCGTAGTATAAGATTTTGGCTTGTTTGGTTTTGTTCCGATGCAGAATATGGCCTCCAATGGCCTAAAATCCTTGTCGAATTTCGTACAGTAATTCTGAAATAAGGAAGCGCGATAGATGATTTGCTCCATACTGTATATCTAAGTTTAACCTCGTTCTACAAAATGGTACCTAAAGCTTCTTGAAATACTTCATCACAAGAGAGTTATTTACAACCAGTGCTTCACCTCTGCTTCGCAGAGGTGAAGCACTGGCCATCATGAACCGTGGTAAACTCACTCTCTGAGAGCTTGTCTCTCAGATCATTGTTCGGTTAACTGCAACATGAGAGCCGTGGTTAAAAATAAACCATACTCGCTATCTTAACCTCACAAGATGTTTAGAATCGTGAATCATTCCTCACTGTAATTTCGTAACAGACAGACTTACAGACCGACAAAAAAGCGGCTTATTATAAGTCATGATCAAACAGTAGGCACATTTTTTGGGACATCCTGTATAATATTAATATCTCAAAAATCGTGACTTACGAAAACGCATGGGAAGAGAAACATGTAGATCATATCTGCTGATGCTCGCATTGCAGATCCTTTGTAATTCATAAGAGTCCTCTCAGTGAGAGTTGACTTGTAGTAAATGGAGCCAAGAATTAGCGAGACAGTCTGAAAGTAAAGATGGAACTTCGGAGTAATTAGAAAAAAACCTACACAAATCTGCACGAGTCGAGTTCGTAGCACGATTGGATTTCTAACAATACAGTGTGTTGATCGCATAAACAACCACCATGTTTGAACCAGCCACGGCGATGCATAACTGGAAAATTTGTTCTAAGAAGCTAAACGTCTGCACTTGCACCTTGGAGTATGTTGAGTAACTAATTGCTTATTTTGCTCATTTAATTCTGGACAAACAAATGTGCATTTTATATCCCATTTTCAAGCGATTCCTTCAGCAGTTTAACTGGGATAAATTCGAGACACTTGCTTTTGCTTGAGAAATGCATCTGACGCACCAACGACTTTATCTGAACTTCCCTGGATGCCTTTCCGAAACGAAAAGTGGCCTGGTTACTTTTAAGAAATTTTTTATTTTCGAGCTTTTTTGTTTATTTTGTAAGAAGTACTCCACAGATTCATTTGAAAAATGTGGGCTTCTCATCAGTTAGATAAGAACTGAGTAATGTAAGTAGGTGTGAACAACTAGTCTAAATGATATCTGATCAACGTAAATTCTCTTCGTTTAGATGACGTTTAGATGACAAATCAACTAAATTCTCAGCAAAAGCAGAGGATACTGTTAGAGAAGGCATGCGATTTTTGCTGACTGTAATGGCTGCTTTTATGATTGCACTGTTGCAAAATAGCTACAGTCGAGTAGATTTTGCGGTAAATATAGTGCGCCTGCAGATGCGGCAGCACGTACGCGTGAATAATCGCCGCCGAAGCAGAGGCTCTAGGTAATTCCGGTGTTTTTGTTGCTCACTCTTCATTTTTCAGGTATGCTTTAATCGACTAGGAGAAGAGGGTAAGTTAAGAAAGCAGTTTTGTTATTTGGAACAGTCAAATCGTCGGTTTTGAGTTCATTTGAGTTCAGATGTATCTCCTGAGAGTTGCATCGTCTTTGGCGTTTGTGATAATACCCTTTCTTTCATTTCCTTTATATCGAAGAACTTTTTTATACCGCGCTAGTAGTTTTTTTCGTTTATTCGACGTTCACTTGTAAAATGGAGTACTATATTAAACAATGTTACTTTCAGGTGACCACTGTTGGTGAGTATTCGGACTATGAAGAGACCTATTATGGTGAGGAAACGTATTTCAATAGAAAAGAGTTGAAAGAAAGGGTTATCTCACAACGCCAAAGGCGATGCAGCTCCCAGGAGGTACACCTGAACTCAAATGAACTCAAAACCGACGATTTGACTGTTTAAAATAACAAAACTGCTTTCTAACTTACCTTCTTCTCTTAGTCGATTGAAGTATACCTGAAAAATGAAGAGTGAGCAAAGAAAACACCGGAATTACCTAGAATTTCTCATTCGGCGGCAATTATACACGCGTAAGTGCTGCCGCATCTGCAGGCGCACTATATTTACCGCAAAATCTACTCGACTGTACGTGCTCATCGAGTAAGACTACATTTCATTCTGCGTAACTAAATTCACATTTCAAGTGATATTGCTACGGAAAGGGATATAGCTTACCCTTTCCGACCTGAATCGTATTTCACTGCTCTTCCCGATGAGGTCATGTGAACGTGCGTGACGTAATGAACATGTTTTGCTATATCTGATGTTTCAAAGGCTTCAATGATATTCTGCAATAAGACAATTACTCGCAATGTTGGTGCAAAGGAGCAAATGCAAATGCAATGCAAATGTATACTTCATTTGGCAGTCGTACCTCATCTGCCTCCAAGTCGTTCACGATATCAAAGCAACCGATTGAAAGCTAGCTTCATAGGTTCGCAGTGAGGAGCAAATCATTCTATTACTACTTATTGAGTCATGTTTTTAGTTTCAACAACTTTGATTGGGTTTTCGCCCTGACCATAATTACCAGTTCTTTTTGCTTCAATCAGCTGGTAAATTTGCCTCCGCCAAGCCCTGTCAGTAAAATCTACGTAATAGGCATGTTCACTTACTGCGTCCTCCCCCCTCCCTCCCCCCCCCCCCCCGTACCAACTCCCAGCTCAGTAGGTGAAACTTCGCAAAAACAACAAAGCCAAGTTTGCTCCGGATCGGTTTAGAAATAAAAAATTTTTCTGAATATACATACAGGAAGAGAAGACAGACAGATACTCAATTTTTTTATGTACAGAAATCCTCCTTTCTGCATCTATAAACTGTTTCTGTTCGATTTTTCCAGCCGAGTAGTCTGTTGTGTCAAGTGCTAGGATATCTTATCTCAAATTTCTTGGGACTTTGATTGCTTGCTAGCGAGTGCAAGGTTTGCGGTGGTTTCGGAGCATATTCTCGATGAGCGCTATAAGAGAACACAACCTTTACCTGGAATGATATCCACGAAAGTCCCCGCGAAATGGGCTTTTCGTGCGAATAAAATGGACTTAGTCCGTGCGGTGTGATAAGATATCGCATTCACGAATCCATTCATTCCATGCAAAATTCTTCAGCAAACCTTTCTTCAACTTGTCTCAACCTGTTTACTCACTCTTGCAAACTCATTTCTACCAAGTGGTGAGAATTTAGCTAGGGCTGACCTAATATTACGATGACACTCACATGAATATTCTACGCTTTCACACTTCATTATACATCAAAAAATGTCATTTGTTATCGATAACTATGCATCGAAAACATCTTCAAGAATAGAATTCACATAAGATTTGGGCCTTCGCTTCTCAAGACTCTGTGGATATGCTTTGAATCAAATTCGTACGTAGAGCTTTCTGGGGAAAGCAAACTTTGGCTAGACTTGCACTGCAATCTGTAAAGCAAATTATCTCGTAGGAATTCTTGCCCTACAACCCAAAGGGGCTCTTTGCTTCGGAAAACTACGAGTCGCAAAGGATGACTTCGCAAATGTTCTGCTTTAGCTCTTCTTTGTCTTTCGGCATTGATGTTTATATCTCTAAGTAGTTGAATGTATGGATTATTGCTAAGAAAATTTTTCACAAAATTTCTCCTGCTAGCTAGCGGCATTTCAGTATTTCTTGCCAATCTCAAAATCGCGTTTAAAATGCCGTCTTTGAGGTTTGGTTCTACGAGAATAGTCAAAAGATAGTTTCTTAGTGATTGTTTAAAACGCAAATCATTCTTACTCTCAAATACAAATCATGAATTTAGTTTTGGTTGATATTTTGAAGAGTTAACAAACTTTATTCGATTTACATAGGAATATTCGCATCGACCTGATATTTGGAAGCAACTGAGTATGTTAGCAAATATTTTGGTGAATTTAACCTTCTTCCATGATTTCTATGGTGTTTATATGAGTTTAGAGAGAAACACTTATTTCAGACATCATAAAAGATAGGAAATTTTTCCGCCACTCACTTGTTACCTTAGAATGAGCTGAGGAACACATTCTCAAAAAATCGCCATCAAAAATATGCAGAAAGGTCAAAAATGGGTTTAGTCCCAGCTCACCTTGCTGCTGGGAGTAAAATGAGCTTTCAAGTCCATTTAAAATGGAGGTAAATCCCATTTTGCCCCATTCTAAATGGACTTTTCGCATGACTCATTCGCAAGCGAGAGCTCAAGTAGGGTGGAATCATTTTCATCACACCGCTTTGCCTCGTGGTTGCGATGAGATAAAAATTTTTGGATAACGCTAGCGAAAGTAGATTCCGACCAGTTTCTACCGCGAACGAATAAAATGGGGTTTGGAAGTCCATTTTCCTCCATTATGGACTTTTGTGGATATCATTCCTGAAAAAAAAAAGATTCGGGGCTTCGCCCTGGATGTTATGATCATTAATTGGAGTATCGTGAATGAAGCGTGAATGAATGACGTGAATGACGTGAATGTCTTCAAAATATCCCAGCAAAATCAACTGGACCATTTATGCCTATTGTACGCAAAAATGAAAGTTTTTGTGAAAATTTTTCCAGAAATCAGGATAATGTTTTTCACTTAACCGTTTCCGATGTTCACGAAAGCTGTTTGAATAAAAACGAGAAACTGCGCTTAGATCTTGCGCAGAGAGTCGCGCACGAAAATGCTGGTTTATCCCGTTAATGTGATTTTCAACATTTGCGACGTTGTCAGTGCTCCTAGTCGTGTCATGACGATCAGAACGATTTGATGTTGCAGGGTTCCGTTGAGATTCTGCAAGGCGGCGATAAGGCACGGCCGCCACTTTCGCTTCGCGCTGAAGACTTTATAGCAGCCCGCTCTCTACCAGTTCTAGCAAAGTTCTTCAGCGGGAAGCGACAGTGACGCAATAAGGCAACGGCGGCTTTCTCGGCGCTTTTGGTGGGGCCGGCTGAGAGCCTTTGATTGTCTGAGCGGTTCGCAGCGGGAAGCGACAGTGAGGAGCGATAAGGCACGACGCTTTTGGTGGGGTTTGGCTTTGGTTTTGCGGCTGCCCTCTGAGAGCCTTTGATTGTCTGAGAAGAAATACAATATGGGAGTGAAAATCTAAAGAACGAAAAATAAATTGGCTTCAACATGCATATCGAGTTAGTAAAAACAAAACCGTTTTCATAACTAATTCTTTTCCAGTTCATCTTCTTTTCGATAGTCACCACTTCTGAAACATGGTGGTATTTGAAGCAGTCACAAAGAAGAAACTGAGTTTTCCTCGTTTTGCAGCATTTTTAAGAATTTTTTTGCTTTCGTTATCTGTTTTGCGTCTTGTTTTTTCCTCTAATTCTCCGGAAACAACCTTCACTTATGTGAGAGGCAGATTCAAACAAACTTCACTTTTGAGACCATATCTCTAGATTATCGAAGGTATGGTCCCAGATTCCATGTATTCGTTTGTAATCATCCTGCGTATAGCTTTCTTGTTCACAACTCAAAGCAACATGTTTCTTGGACGTAATTTAAGATGTGTTGTGAATACGCCTAGAGTTGCACTCTGCAGCAACTGCAGGACTTCTGCGCCTGCTTTACCGTCCCACCTCGGTTTACTAACGCGTAATGTAGAGAAGAAAACATTTTTTGAGAAAAAATTAAAGTCCAACAAAGACAGTGCGCATTAAAACGCAAACGGCCTGAACAGTGTTTTGCAATAGAGCGCTTCGGCTTACTACAGTTGTTTCAATCTGGATCAGACCAAATTTGACATGACGCACCAACGTCGTTTTGCGTCATATCCAAGGTTAGCTACTGGTATTTTTATTAGACCTGTTTCTTCTCTGCTGATTTTCCGAACCCTCCGGCAACGACTTGTGCTCCACATGGAGTGTTACCCGTGTTACCCTTGGCATGTGATGGCGTGGTTTCGAGACAACGTTTCGGCCTAATATTGATTGGGAGAGACTGTACATGCAAAAGATTCTTACATGTAAAGTTAAATGGCTGTTTGTATGTGTACTCTGATAATCGCCGGGGCAGGCGGTCCGCAAACTCGCGCTTTTCTGCAAGCGGTCGGCAGAATTTTGGAGCGTGACCAAACCTCCAGCGGGCGGCACTTCCTTTACGGTCGCATATTCTGCCAGCGGGCAGCAATACGGCATTTTTTGCATTTTTTGCTCGGCAAGTAATTTCTGCCAGCAAGCGCTGGCCAAACTTTCAGCAAGCGCTTGGACTCTTTTTACGAATTTTCGGGCGTCGTCGAGCACAGGTAAGACTCTGTGTGGCAGAGGTGTCACCGTTGGTTTAACTACTCAAGTTAGAGGTACTTTCTCTCGCGGAAAGTACCTGGGGGCTGCGCGGTCCTCCACAAAGGACCGTGCGGCCCCCGGAAACTTTGCATATTCTCGCGGAAAGTCCGCGAAAATGCGGTCACTGCGCCGCAGCTAATCTACAGCGAAACCGCGATTATTCTCCAAGCATTCGTCTAAAATCTCGCTAAAATTATTCCAAATTTCTGCAAACGGACCGCAAGAAATCAGCGAACTATTTTTCCGGAGCGCGCTTGCTCAAAATTCGCATGGCCGCCTGCCCCTGGCGAATATCTGAGTAACTGTCATACGTGTGTTCTGAATTAAAAAAATTCCTTTGCTAAATTGATGCGAAAAATTTGCAATACAATTTGTGTCAACCACGTGCTTCTTTTCCTTGCACGGGCACTCGCAGCACGTCGTTGATACACTGTATGCACTTTCGGAGCTATCGCAGGCTATTCTTTTTGTTATCGATCGATACCGATTTTAACGATTCTTGCGGACTTTAAGCTACGGGCTGAAATCTGGCTTAGGAGGGATAAATGAGCATGCAGAGTACGAAAAGACGGTGCGCACGGAGCTGACATTAGTATTCCGGTTTTAAAGACAAGATACTGGTATTTTCAAGAAATTCGGTGAATTGAGAGAACAAAAAGTAGACAACAGTTATTTATCATTTTTCAAGATAGTCTAAAACCAGGAAGTAGACAATACGCGTCAGTATTCGTTACAAATCCTCCAAGTGGTTCGGGTTAAATTATCGAGGCCTCTTCTCCAGCCACTATTGGACGTCCATTACTGTATTCGTCAAACAGCTCTCCCATACAATCGGAATCTTAGAATATCAATAGTATAGCAATTCAAAATAATTTCGTCGTGCCTTGCGCAACTCTGACAATCGCCCGTCTCGCTCCATAAAAATTACTCAATTCTCTCATATGGTAGCAGTTTTTTCAAAACCATCTCTTTACTGGCTTTCATGACGCGGGATAGCTAGCTGCTCAACATGGTCTCCTCAGCGAAACCACGAGCTGACCAAATCGGCAGCAGTGGAAAGTGGGCTTTCTTCTAATTGCTTTAAGAATGATCTTCCTCGCTCCCACATCACTGTTCCAAGAAAAAGTGGACAGAATACTTTTCATTTCAGTCAATGATGTTGTGGTTCCACTTCTGTGTCTCATGAAAGGAAGTGCTATTTCCGCTATTCCTGTGACAAAACAAATGTTGATCTGCTGGATATTTCGTAGTCTAATTTAGAATGAAACAGGCATGATCATGGTTTTCCGCTAGTTACTCGCTTATTTCGTGGTTTTGTATGACTAGCTGAACTGAGTGGCAGTCAGATCAGATGATAATCATGTTGATAACGATGTAACCATGATAAAACTATCACAAGGCGATGGTACCAAATTCAAATTTACTGCCACTCCTGAGATTACCTAGAGCAAAGTTATAATTATCTAAGTTTTTGAGAGTAGGTTACCAATTTGCAATGTACTGCAGAGGGGTTGCGTGTGCAATTCACTCTGCTCCTCTCACCTCAGGCAAGCTTGTGCTGCTATTCTAACTGGATTGAATGGCGCATCTGAGTGACTAATGAGTGTGCCAAACAAGGTCTTGTGGGAAGCTCTCGCTGCTTCTACAATATAATCTGTGTACGTTTGTAGCTAAGCCGGAAAATTTCATGACTTTTGGCTCATCGAATGGTTATTTTCGCGTGAATTTTGTGCGAGTCGTTCCGGTGAATGGAAACGTGGTCTATGGCAGAGTGCGGGATTTCGCAACGCATGTTTCATTAAACGTAAAACGTAGACGTGACAATTATATTTTTCATTCCTACTTTTGAAGTTTGCAAACTTTGCAGTAATTCTTTGTCTTATTGCAAGTCTGCCAAATAAGTGGAGTGGAATTGAACATTCACGACTTGGGTACTGCTTGATCAACATCTCAAACACGAAGGTAATGCGCGTCCTAAGCGTATTTTCATCAAGGCGGCGTAGGTGTCTTTCTTCTGTCACCCTAAAATCCAACACATAGGGTATCCCCTGAGATAAATTCGCCTGCAGGTTTCCTAACTTATCTGACAGTTTTCGGATTTACATGACAAGATCTTGAAGTAGTCATAAAGGAAAAAAGGACATTTGTAAAGCAAAACTTAGCTGAATGGTCTGCAGGGCGGACACTTATCTGGGTCGAAAAAGCGATCATGTTCTAGGGTATTTGCGTGCATCTGGACTAAAATATGTTCATACGCTTTTGAATGACCTCAATTTTTTTGTTGTAGTCCGCCTCTGCTTCGTTCTCGCCTCTTGATAGTACCTTCATAAAATGGTCCGATATGCTGGTGTACATTGGACGGTTGTAGGAGCATCTGCAATACCCAAATTGAAGACAGGCAAAAAGAATTCTCTCCAAAAATCAAAAACTATACGCTGAGGACTTTCAATCTTGACGTGTGCTCATTCAAGACAATGGCAAAAACTGGAATTTCATGTCGAGTTCTAATCACTTAGATTGACATTATTTTAGCACCCGAACATATGGAAAAAAGTTAGTGTCAATGTTAGGCATTAATATTTTCTCGGTTCTGAGGAACACTTGAGTGCTCTAGACCTCCACGGTTTGTGTCTACTTATATTCATGTAAGTTTACGCTTTGCCATAAGCATATTAATTAGACAGTGCTACAGTATATGTTGCGATGTTCAATATTTGAGTGACTACTAGACGCCTCTTGGTTGAAGTCAGGCAGATAAACAATTATTGTTGACCCCAATTTGCAAGCAGTACATCATGAAAGTCTACTTTAGAATCTTGTTGCACCAAAAGTTTGCTCTTCGCTAAAATCTCAGCATTCTCGCGAAAGTTTTTGACCTTGGAAAAAGTTGGGATTTTGAAAAAAAATGGCGAGCCACTGTATATCACAGAGACATACCATGTGGCTTACATAGAAAGCCCATCGCGGCTGACAATCCTAGTCGAATTTGCCCTTACAGATATTCTCGCCGTTTGAACAACGCAGACGGAGCCCTTCGGGGCTAGATGCTCAAAAACGATGTCGCGAACTTGAAATCGTGCCACTTTTACAAGACTGCGTTCTAATATTACTAAAATGTGATATAAATATTTCAATCCTGTCTTAGAGCCGCACCCATTAACATCCCCGCCGGGAAGGGATAGCAGCTCAAAAGAACGCTTCATATCCTGAAGCTTTAGTTGTCCGGGTTTTACGCTATCTACCTATACTCAAGAATTCCTACCATGCCTTACTATGAACATATTGAACAGGAGCGAGAAGCTGTACAAGTCGCATTTTCCAGCTCTTAGTATGATCCCTTGATGATCTCCGGCGGCCGGCCGTCTTTTCTTCAAAGTCATTTTTCTTTCTTCAAAGTTAATGATAACTTTCCAAAGTTGTACTTAAAGGCGCCGTCCACTCAGAGTTTCGACCTCCATGTTTTTGCCTTTCGGGGCCTTCTTATACTCTTGAATCCAAATATCAAGTCGGAAATCCGCGAAAATCACGAATCCCGGTATCAGAACCCGCAGGCGATTTCTTCGGAACAGTGATTGGTTGGACGCGCGCGGATGGGCGGGACGAACGTCACGCCCACTCAAAGGGGAGGAGCCAACGTGGCAAATATGTCATCATAAAAAAAATTTTCGAAGCAACTTTTTCGTTTCGGAGACAACTTTTGCCAGCGCGAGTTAGATAAGTATACAGTTGGGGGCCTACCGTTAAGCATCAAAATCTCATCGACCCCTTTTGGGTGGACGGTGCCTTTAACTGACCCAACAGCGCTCAGCATGTTGTGTAAAAACAAATAGGTTTTTAGATTATCGTATTCTTTGATGAACCACATCTTTCGACTGTGCTTCACCGCAAATTTCATGACTCCAATACATTACTTGTTCTTATCAGCAACATGCCCAGCACTGCTAGATCAGATAATCTGCAAACTTTGAATGTTTCGTTGACTTCGAAGAAAGGAAAATGAGTTTAAGGAAAAACGGTCGGCTTTCGGGGATCATGAGGGAATCATAGAAAAAGATGAAAAATGCGGCTTGTACAGCTTCTCGTTCCTGTTTAATATGTTCATAGTAAAGGACGGTAGAGATTACGGAAAGATAGACAGCGCGAGATCCAGATCGGAGCTTCAGAATATGGAGCTTTCTTTTGAGCTGGACCCCTCCCTTCCATCTTACGGGTTCAGCAGCTCGGCCGTATCAGCGCCTGGCTACGGCCTCTTGTGCATCCGCAAGCGAATCCGTGAGCATTTCCTATGCTCAAGAAGAGGTTCGAACGAGAAAATTGTCAAATGCAATAACGCCCATCCTAATATAAATTCTTCCCATGTGACATTGGACCAATTCTTGAAGCCAGAAAACCGTTTAAGATCCAGATTGAAACCAGAGCTTCTAGAGTAAACCAGGATTTTCTCTTCACTGTAAGTTTTGCACTTTGGGATCAGCGGAAGGATAAGACCAAGTAAGCGAAGAATTTTTTACTCAAAAGTTAATTTCTCCTCAGTCTGCTGGAACACTGCCTTTAAAGGTTAAAATGGATTTAAATCACACAAAAAGTGTGATAAAAAACCCCTGATTGAGCGGTGACAGAAGCTCGCAACCGGAAAGGAGGTTTACGAAACCTACGGATAGCCCGCAAAGTGGCCGCTTTTAACGATCGGCCTCGACTGCCCGCCTAACGGCAACGGCGGCCGGCGTAGCGTTCACATGTTATCGCGGCAACCTGCAAAATCTTATAAAAGCTGGTTTTTGCCATTTTCAAGCGCTGCAAACTTCAAAGCGTCTCGAGAAAACGCTGAAAACCAAAAATTGAGATTTTGTGAGGTCGCTGCTCTTAAAGGCACCGTCCACCCTAAGTTGATTGTCTTGAGCTTTTGGCAGCATATAAATGGTAAGGCCCCCTATCAAGTCAATGTCCAAGCGACATTGCCGCGGCAAATGTCGCTTCGGAAGCGAGAAAATCGAGGACTCCCAGACGGCACCGCCCTCCCCATCCATGCCCTCCCAGCCGTGCGCACCCATCCAATCATCGTTCCGGAAAGCCGGCCTGTGGGTTCTTCAAAACAGGGATTGTCGGGGTTTGCGCGGATTCTCGGCTTCATATTCGGAATCAGGGACATGAGAAGAGCCTGAAACGACAAAGACTCGGAAGTTGAGACTCTGGGTGGACGGTATGCCTTTCAAGAATAGAGAACGCCATATTTTCGCATAGCTAGGCCGCGACCTGATCCGCCAGAGTTGACATTGACTGAGACAACCTGTGTTGCAAAATTTTCCTTTTTTTTTGAAATGAGTGAGCACTAATATCCACAAAACCGTATAGCGGTTTAGAACAGGGACTACGTTCTTCCTATATTTAAAAACCTTGAAAAAAAAGTGAAAAAAGTTTAGGATGCTGGGAGGAGATCTTCGCTTGGAAAAAAAGAAGAAGTTTTCTGAAGTGCCTGAGTAACCTAAGCGAGAATAACCCACAAGCTCAAAAATCCTTCCACATCTGCAGCATTTCCTTGGTAAGCCACCTGTCCTTGTGCCATCAGTACAAGTCTTAATAAAGCGTAATTGGCTGTTAGGTTTATCTCACGCTGCTCTTTGATGCGATGTTTATTACACAGACAATCGCCGAAGATAGAGGTCCCAGAAATTGCGCGTTTTTATTTTTTGCGCTCTGCTCGCAGAACTTTAGAAAACTGTTGACGCGTTCTCCCAAGACCTCTTGTTGATGCCTTTCTCACCCTGACTTTTTTGCAGTTATAATGTTTTTTTAACGAAATGAAGAATCAACAAGCGGTCTTGCAAAAGCTCAAGGTCAGTTTTCTGAAATCCTAAAATCGTGCAAAAAATCTCTTTTTCCGATTTGCGCCTACCGCCGACGATTGCTTGAGTAGCTAAGACTTTTATAACCAAACATTACACATCAGGCATACCTAATGCAGTTTTCTCACCTGCGATTAACACTGCTACAATTACTAACAAATCTCTGTAAGCGTAATTTGCATTTAAGATCAAGCATTATATGCTTAGCAGAAAAATGCGCTTTTGCATTCAGAAACCAAGAGCAGTGAATCTGTGAACATTTGGCAAAATATTCGGGGATCGTGGTTCCCCTAGATATATCCATATTGAATCGCTCTAGGTAAATCCGATCGTCATGAAGACTTTAGCCGACCTTGACGATGTACTCGTCGTAACCTGCTTACATTGCATTTTCAGCCTAGCCCGCACGCTTTGCATGCTGCCAGACTTGCACCGACACAGTGATTATGGAGATCTTATACGTAGTTCCGAAAAGTATAAATTGCACTGGCCATAACAGCGTGCCTGCGTACGGGGACTTCGCCCACTTCTTTAGGTTTGACCTGACTCGAAAGGGAGTTTCTAGTAATCTTGGAAGAGTTTGTGATAATGTAGCGCCACGATGATGAGATTAGAGAGGCGATCCAGGCGGTGAAAACGATGATGACAATAGATAGCAATGGCTTGAATCGTAATTATCGATTGTTGATGATAAGCCTAAAGTAATTAAGTACGGACTGACTTGAGACAAGGCGACACCACCCGTTCAATGCCACATTTGAGATTCAATATGAAACTCCACACCGGAATCCGTGGATTATCGGGGATGAATTTGGGGAGAGACTTCTAGATTAATCACGACGACGAGGATTATGTATGAAAAAAGCAGCTCTAAAAGTTTCCTTCCGACGCTAAACATGGGAGTTGCCAAATGGAAAGTACCGTAACGGGTCCAATCACACCATTGTCAATAGCGATATTGACTAACTGTGCCAAGTTTTTCTTTTCATCAAATAAAAAGAGAGTCGATAAGATAAAATTCAGGAGACGCCACGATTGTCAAGAGCTGTAACCCGTTTTCATCTATATATGGCTTCGCAGAAGATGGTGTTCGACAACATAGACGTAGAGTATTGCTCGTTCAGCATCTCTGCAATCGCTCAGAGAAGCCTGGGCCCGTAGTCCCCCCCCCCCCTGTCAAATGGTCGCGACGTCCGATCGCTACATCGTACGTACCCAGTGCGTAAACATATCGCTACATCGTACGTACCCAGTGCGTAAACATCGTACGTACCCAGTGCGTATCGTTTCGGCCGCGATTCGTCCAGCGGCTATCTCTTACCACGGCCGCGAAGCGAATTCGTTGGTCATCGTGACTGCAGGACGTGCTCGTCCCGTGCGCAGAGGACGAGCACCTAGTGAACGTCGTCACTTGAGAGGCAGACAAAGAAAAAATAGTGGGCCCAGCTAGAAACGCAGGAAGGCGCAACCGAATAGGGGTTGATTACGCCGAGTTCGTCCTGTGCGCGGCGTATGTTTGCCGATTTGCTGTTCACTAGCTCTGTACTTAGCGTTTCTCTTTTTATCTGGGCGACAGCGTCTGGCTTCGTGGTTAGTGGAATAGCTTACGTTTGCAATAACTAAAGTAGTGATTCTTTTACACTACTCCAAATTTTCTAGGCGATAATTTATGTACTGCATGCTTTATTTTCCTCTACTACGAAAAATGTTAGTATTTTTGTTTATATACGTGAAAGCTCTTCTAACAAAGCAGTTTGCAAATTGCTCATGTGGGACGCGTACCCCTTACCCTCTCCCCCTTCCTAAGACACGACACTGGCGCTGAGCTAACAGCTTCCTTGCGTAGGTACCATCAATAAGCGCCTTTATTGTGAACATGGCGAAGCAGTGCATACCTTTTACTTCACAAAAAGAGATTGATGCAAATCAAGCTTGCTCATGAAGTTGTTCGAACGATGTTGCAAGCAACTGTCCTGTTTCTCCTTTGTTTCGTTCGCTTCTACACCTAAGCCATGAAGTCTATGGCGGAGTGGCAGTGCGCGTGGCAGTGCGCACTGTTCCAGTAGTCGAAAGTTTGATGGGCGCAAGTTTTGCGGCGACCAAAGTATAGTCGCGAGCAGCATATACTTTAGTCGGACACATCGTAACCTCGCTTTCTTTACATTACAACATATTTCTGGGTTTACTACGAGCCCTGAGAGTTGAAAAGTGCAAAGAAAACGATTCTCATCGGAGAATGGAGAATTGGCACGTCAAAATTTATGACTACATTTTTTTATCGAATTTCAAAAGTTCCAGGAAATATTCGATGGAGCAAAGAAAACTCTGCAAGATATTCCTCGAACATGTGCAAGTAACCTTGATGCATTCGAATTGTAAAGCAAAATATAGTGAAATGATCCAAATGTCAAAAAAATGTTAGAAAAATTATAACTTTGCTAATGAAATAATAAAACCATCTACTTGCTCACGCATGGACATCGCAGATGAGAAAATTGCACGCACAACTGCTGGGCTTTTTATTAGGCTAAAAATCGAGAAAATGAAAGTTCATGCTTTAGTCAAAGCAACCTAATCGTAAGCTGTTCTCATGCTAGTAAATGTGTGCTATCAGCCCTTAGCGCCAGATCAAATCATACCGCAATAACTTTTTTTCTCCATTTTAGAATAGGCTCCAGGTACTATCCAGAGCAAATTAAGCTCTACAAGATCGTTCTCACGTGGGATTTTAGCCTTTGAAATAGTTTTGAAAAGTTCGAATCCAGCTCTCCCTTCTGGCTCCTCATGCAAATTTCAACATTTACGGAGAACTAATTCTTGTGAAATGTTGTATCACAAATTTACTTTTAGAAGCTTGTACTATGAAATTGCCGTTGTGGGAAAAGCTCAGCATTGCTTTGGCAATATCATAAAAATTCTCGTTTTTTCCGTTTCTTATCGAGGAAGAAGTACGACAAATGTTTGTGTGAACTTACGTAGCGTGCATATGCGTGGAAAAGATGTAGGATCTTTGGACCAAGACATGAATTTTCCCGATTTTTCGATTCTCTCTAATCTTTGTTTCCAGACTTTGATGAATTAAAGGAGCAAGAGTTCAAAAACGATCTTGTAGATCTACTTTTCTTTATTGAGTAGTACCTGGAGCTTGTTCTTGATATAGAATAACGAACTTTACTGCGAGCGAAAGTCAGCTCTGCGATTATTCAAAACTGCTCTTTGAAGACAAGTTAACTTCATAGATAAAAACCTCCTTTCCTTCTTTCAAGAGTATAGTATGGTCCGATTACCTGTCAGCCATCTCATAAACTTGGCTTGAAGGCTGGTGAATGGTGCTGATAACAGTTTTACCATCACAAGCTAGGACTTTTAGAGCAGCAACGACCTGAGTTTTTAGAACAAACAGCAAGCTTAGAGATATAATATGTTTGATTTACCTGCAGTGCCATGCAAGAATCGAGCCCGGATGTTGGCTCATCACAAAACAGAATCGGTGGGTTGGTGAGTATCTTTAAATAACAATCAATGATAGAGTTGATATTGTTTGTGACTTACTTCACATGCAAAAGACAAACGTTTTTTTTCTCCTCGTGATATACCGCCATGGTATGCGCCGCCGATCATCGTATCTCGACAGCTCAACAATCCCATCTGTGATTGTAGTTTAGAACTTTCCCAACTCTGCGAGACTCACAGTCGCCATAACTTCCTCAACGGTTTCTTTCCTCACATTTTCCGAGCTTGAGGGCATTCGTAAGCGTGCCTGGATAGGGATTTACAGAAGCATACTGCATCTTAAAGAAGCGTTGACCTACAGCGAAAGTTAGCTGCTCTAAAACCTTCATTTCACCGATAAATAAATCTTCCTGCTGTACATAAGCACTATACCTCTTGATGTCACCCCACTTCACTAGCAAGCTATGAAGAGATAAAGTTTGAGTTCGAGTTGTTCTTGTACGTTTCTGCTAAAACTTTTGCTTACTTGTTAATAGCGATCTCACCGTAGACACGCACTTCAGACATTTTTCTCTGTGTCAGAACGTTAAGTAGAGTAGATTTGCCTGCTCCACTGCAATGTTTTGTTGAGAATGACAAAATTCAAACATCTTCTTTTTACCTCGATCCCATTATAAATGTCACTTGGCCAGGTTCAGCATAGCCGGATACTGAATCAATTGTTTTTTTTTGCAAGCTTTAGAGAGCCATCTTGTCACTTATCATATCAATTTTAGTCATTCCTCCATTGAAGAAATATGCGACAGCAAAGAATTTGATCATGAAAGCAGCGTAAAGGCACCTGTCGGCGCTACCGGTATGACAAAAATTCATCAGTGCAGGTCCGTCGCACCAAGGCGAAAACCACATACTGCTTTTAAGATCAATTTGTTGCTTTTTCTTTTCATTCAAGTTTAAAACAGCGAAAATTCGAAAAGCTACACAGTTGGTTTTTTTCTCGAATTATCTCCCTGAAGTAAGATATCAAAATCTAATATTTCAAAGTAGAGGTAAGAGCTTATCACTACTACTCTTTCAGGGGCGTGGTGCAAGAGGAACCATAGCAGTTGCCCACCGCTGCTCTCAACGCATGGCGATGCACTATTTGCCTCACAAAGTGCATCTTTCGCAAATACGTGTGCTCTCACTGAGCCAAAGCTGTTTGTCTTTTCAATCTCGACGGAGAATCTTTATGATGTGACTTCTTCCATAATGAAACGGTTGAACGGGAATTCTGGTCTTAGTGATGAGGAGTTGAAATTGAATGCTCGAAGCTCACTGGTAAGTGCTATTTGGTAGTGCAGTTGCAAGAAAACAATTTAAGCTTTCTCAGTTTCACCTTTGCTCCCTTTTAATAGTTTGACGTACTTTCACACCTTATTGAAGCAGACAATCCTGCTTGACTCTCCCGTGCGAGTGAAAGCAAAAAGGAAGAAAATGCTTTGAATTTCTACTTACAAATGGATAGAAATGAGGATAAAAATGTGCAGCTTACTGACACTCTCCAGCTATTGCTCCTCTTGCCTCCACCCTAAAACAGAGTAAGAGTTTCAAGCTTCTGCAAGTTGATTTTGTCCTGCGGGAGTCAATGACGCATGTTTAATAGTCAGGCTTTATTTGCGTCAACCTCGATTAAAAATAAACAAGCTTTTTTAGAAAGACATTGCCGAGGAATAATCACGAGCACTGCACATTGTCGTAGTTCCTAGTTGTCCTCGTAGTGGTAGTACCGCACGACAAGGGTTACGCACTTTGAACAATAGATTTAGTTGCTGGTTACGACTAAAGTACTGATGACGACTAGGGACGAATCATCTTTGAAAGAGCTCCTTTTAATGTCGCTCATTCCCCGCGCGTAAGTCAGTACAACACCAGCAGATCTTTGGAGAATACAAGGTTATAATGATACAAATATAAAGTTATTACTCCATATCTGAGTCCGTAAGTTAGTATTACTCCATATCTATATGTTGTGTCCTTTGCGACCGACGGCGAAATGGCGGCGTAGACGGTGGAGTGGCGAAGACATCAGCGCCCGTGGGCTCGGCAATGGCTGCGCTGATATCGAGATTTCTTTTCCATAAGTGAAATTAGCGTCTTGAAAGCGGGAACATGGACACCGCGAGAGTAGACGGTCTATGGAGCTTAAAATCAAAAGGTTCAACTCTCTCAACAGCGTGCTAGTGGCGTCGGGAACTGCGCGAGGGCATAGCTGACTGGCATGGCCTCTTCGCACAAACCGCTTGACTTCCAAGAGTAAGCGCCCAATCCTTATCGTACGCTTCGTGGAGTCCAAGTAGGCTTCCTTGTTAGATAGTAGAAGCCTTCAAGTTTGACTTTCCTTTTCTTTGCTCCATGTAGCCGGTTATTACGTGGATTTCATCGCCGGTTTTGATGGAAAATAGATTGATGTAGCAAGCATCAGTGACCAAATGCAAGAGCTGAGTGTTTTGTTGATCCAAGAAACATCTTGGCCGGCGAACGATTATCAGGCGAAGACAGGCAGGTGATAAAGCTTCGGCAAGGCTTCTGAAAGATTTTTCTCTCCTCGCAGCTATAACAATCCTTTTTCAAAGATTCAGACGGAGCGTTCAGCGACTCCGAGTAATATGGCGGCGTTTGAACGTATTTATTTATTTATTTATTGCAGGAAGTACAGGATTAAAATCCTGTACTTCCTGCAAAAATCCTCAAACGAAAGAGAATTGAGTGCCATTGTCTTGAACAAGCATCTTCGGAAACCCAATCTGCCAAATCTTAACGAACACCTTCGTGAATGCTTGTGACATAGTCGATTGCATCTCTACCATTTCAAGCTAGGAGAGTATGTATCCACGACAACAAGGCAGGTGTCCATAGAGCGGTTCAGCGGCAGAAAAGCTTCCACAGGATTTTTAGCGGCAAGTTGGTAATACTGGCAGCCACATTTTACTGACGTCTTCTTCGATACCAGGCCATAGACATAGTTGCTAGGGAGCAGCCATCCGGGGTTGTCCAGAGTGTCCATGGTGCCTCATGCAGAGAATTTTCCTTAGCGAACCCTTAGTATGACAGGTCTGGATCCAAGAAAAATACATGTATTCTAGGTAGAAAGTCTCTTCCATTGGATTTTGGATGAACAACGGCGTTTTGGGAAGTGCATTCGTCTTCACAATTGAGCAGCTTCATCAGCATTTTGTCCTTTTCCAAGGCAGACCCTATGTTTTCCACGACAACTTGCAAGTGATTAAGTGATTCTCCGTAAGTGGCGGTGAGATCACCTTGTAAGTTGCAGTGCTGACGTCCTCGCCCGGCCCACTCCGGCAGGAAAGCAGTCGGGAGAGCACAGGCCTGTCCGATGTTGCCGCAGAGCAGTACCTGATGTCAAAATCCTGGCGAATAGCGACATCGACCATCGTGTAGAAGGTTGGCAGTGTAGGCAGGCACTCCTCTCTTTCCTTGCAAGTAATGAGTGAAAGCGGTGGTCCTTTAGCAGACTGAATCTTTGTTTATGGATGTAGGCAGGTTACTAGGGCCAGTTTTTCGTTCTCAATTTATAAGTAGTTTCTTTCTGTGGCCGTCAGGGTACGGTTTGCGAGGCAGACGACCTTCTCCGATACTTCCGGGTAGTGGCGGCATGGGTGATGGCGGCAATCCTCTGGAGGTTGGGGCACCTTCCCGCGCGATGACAAATCCGAGAAAAAACTATACTGGACTTAGCAAAGCGGTCTTCACAACAAGCAATACTCCATAGCATCAAAGATGTTGGAACACACTGAAGACGTCTCGCATGATTTTCGTGAGTCTTTTCACTAAGCGCCATCATCCAGATAGGCAATGGCTCCACCAACGTCGGCGGTAACATTGCTCATAAGCAATTGGAGGATTTCAGTTGCACTTCTTACAACGAACGGTAAGGGAACGGCCATAGGTTGCCGGCGACGGTTGCCGAATTTGCCGACGTTGCCGGGGTCAGAGACAGTTTAGAGAGCGCGCGAAACGTGGAGGCTATCATGAGGTTCTACAACCTTGGCAACGCCAACCTCTGGTCGTTTCTTAAGTAGCAAAAGGGTCCTCGTGACGAGTAGATGGTCACCAACTCCTTGCTTTCGTCATCCATTTCTACATTGCAAGTACGCGCCGCGCGAGGAGTTGGTGAAAACGGTTCCTTCATTTCGTTTGGTGGCGATGTCCTTGTTAACAGTGAATGTTGGTTCAGCTTCAGCGCATGTTAGCTTGATGGAGTAGCCGGCACGCATGTGCGCCTGCTCCAGTCTTCCTCTTAACGAGTGCTGCTCCATTTCCTGACAGGTACGATGTGAGCGGTATGGCCCTATGTGAGGACGGTAATAGCACTCTCGTGGCGGTTCAATTCTGCGTTAACGAGAGGTTGCATGGCAAACGGTTCCTTCCGCTTTGGCAACACAAGAGTGGCATTTTTCTTCACGACAAGATGCCCAACGGCGAAACGCGTCCACGGCACAGCAAGCAGCCGAAAAGAAGGCATTTCGGAAGGGCTGCAGTTGTTGAAGCATGTCCATCCTCAAACAATCTTGGTGACTTCGATTAATCCCTCATCATCGAAACCTTGCGCGTGAACTGCATCTCATGGACTGCACATACGAAAAAACGCAACCTAATTTGGGGCCCAATAGGAAGAAGCTTTGAAAAGGGAGCTCTGAAAATAGGTCCGCATCAAGTATATATAGGGCATACCAGCCACCATCGGCCGTGGGTACCCACGGGATGAGGCTGCGAAAGCGCGACGCGGGCAGCAAAATTAGTACCTAGCGCGAAAACGTCGCTGTATCTGTGGCCAGAGTTGAATATCGTTCTTTTTTTTTAGCTGATTTGTACTAGGCTGTTGCATAAGTTCTGTCCGATTTGAATTTTTGAGTTTAAAATGTCATAACTTCTTTCAGAGTCAACTTTTTTCCAAGGTCTTAGTTTCTATGTGTTGAGCAGTCCCTTGGCTAAAAAATGCATATTGAGATCTGCGCAAATCTCTGTTAAGGAAGAACCAAGAATGCAAAAACTTCGCAGCGTTTTTCTTCGAATCTGTCTTTTTTGACATGGTAACGCTCCCTTATGAAAATTGATAGGCATCTTTTCTAATAATGGATGGATAGAGAAATTTTCGTAGATTATTATGCAACATAAAAGAGCCCATAGGGTTTGCGCTGCCGAGAGATTTTCTTGACCGAACAAAAAATTAGCCACTTTTTGACCTCGCTTCAGCACATGTGTGCATGCCTATTTATGAACTACGAACGTTTTACAACTGACGTGAGCGCCGAAAAGGAATTGGTGGATGGGCCCTGTTAGCTCTTGCTTTGCCCTAGCACCTCCAACTTTGAGCTTGTCGATTACTTCTATTCGCAGAAAGTTATTGCTTGTAAAACATCTATACCAAAGATTTATGTTCGAGGATAAATTTCACTAGCAAGACGTATTCTTCATGGGACCGAACTTCTGCATATACTAGCATTCCATACCCTTATTCCGAAGCCAATGAAAGAACCTGACTTGAAGGGCGCATTGTGGAGATATCCTCGCAAGGACATATTTCTAGGGATAGAACGTACCTCGGCCACTTAGAGATTTTAGGCCTGTGATCTCCGTACACTAAGAATTTTATTGAATTCTGGTATGCCTTAGAAAGCGCAAGGAAAGCACTTTTCAATGATACCAACCGTATCGAATTAGAGATGAAATTCTCTTAGAACAGCTGCTTCAAACATGAGGCAAAAAAATCGGACAGAACTTATGCAACAGCCTAGTACAAATGCTTCTCTTGCGTAGCTGATGAACTTCATTTCGTATTCAATTGCATGTTGGATATCTTGTTTTCTATATTTCATGCGAAATGAGAAGCATAAGCACACTGAAACTTTTTTTCTTCCAAATCGATGATGGAAAAAATAATTCGGCTTTCTGCGACTGTGACTTGAATTTGACACTTTAATTATATGCCAGTTCTGGGATTAGGAGACTTCAGAACGTTGCACACGTTGTTTAACAAACTTGTACTTGTTTCTCATCTAATCTTTAGTAGTAAACAAACCAAATGGGGTAACAAGTAACATTTTCACATCATACTTGTGCAAAGCGCGGTCGAATCTCTTCATCTCGGAATAGATGATAATTTTCTGCTATGCATGAACAAAAAATGCGCTTCACCGCCCCTTCTTAAATGTTCTTCATTCGAACAGCGCCACCATCTGAAAAGTCTAGTAATTGGTACAAGTACGAAACCTAATGCCTAACAAGAGAATGTAAAGTAAACACGGGATGAATCAACGTCTTGAGTCTGAGAAAAAGGCCAGCTTCCGCGCTCGAGTGCAATCTCGCTTGCTCGCGTCGCGCGCGTGCTGTTTCTTCCTGGGTACCCACGACCGATGGTGGTTGGTACGTCCTATACATAATTACTGAAACTGAATTTCCATATAACTACCAGGCTTGATTATATAAAACCAGTGCGTCACCTCTGCTTCGCAGAGGCTCGCACTGGTGCTACTATCTGCACGCCTTACTCATTCCCGCATCATAATGACATTGAAACTCACCGCGCTATTCCGACTATCACGAAAGATTTGTAAACAACTATTCATTCCAATAGCTTTTCCATATAAGATCGGTAACTCCGCTTGAATGAAACTTTTTCCAAAAGAACAAATGCAAATTTGGATTAGTTTTTGGACTTTTCATGCTTGGATTTCGCCATAAGATACAATAATCACCGTGGGCTACAACTCTGTGCAGAAATTTTCTCAAATGATTGGGTAAGTCTTGGCAAATTGAACATGTACGCAACCATCCTTTTTGGCGCCGTTTTCGCAAAGTAACAAACTTTAGATCAATTTTTTCGGCTAAAGTCCATGGCTTGCACATTAACTTGTCAAACGTAAAAGCGACTTTGCAAAAAGTTGTGCTACAGGCTCAACTTTAGTGGCCAAAAGCCAAGTGGATCCGATTGACGCGCCTTTTTTGAGGGTTCCACACAACGAATTCGCTCGTGCTTTTGTATAGCGGACTCCCATGTTGGTAGCATGCGCTGTGCAAAATTTGGGCTCAGGAGGTTGGTTGGAAGACGTTCTACGAATTTCGTGACAGACACACACACACACACACACACACACACACACACACACACACACACACACACACACAACACACAACACACACACACACACACACACACACACACACACGTAAACACCCTTAGCCCGTTATTATAAGTAACTAGCTGGTGGCCCCGGTCTCACCCGAGACTTCAAGTTAGTTAAGCCAACAGAACTTGTAAACTTACGCCTCTAGATTTCTTCTAACATGCGCATAAAGCGCTTTCAGACTAATTGCCGCGCCCTACCAACTTTGAGTTTGAAATGGACTTTACCGCCCCTGCTTACATGCTTATATGTAAAAATGATCGGCTGCCATGATGATCCTTCATTTTCTTAGGTTTGAGTAAACAAATCAATAAATCGATAGAATGGCTCGGCGAATCGCCGCGGAAAGTAGCTCTAAACCACCGCCGGGGTCGAAAGTATACGTGTGCGAAGTTTCAGCCGGATCGGTTCAGTGGCGCGCGTTTCTATAACGAACGAACAACTAAACGAACATCCTCACAGACATTGAGTTTTATATATCTCTATATATATAAAACTCAAAGTGTGTTTGTCTGTTAATAAGTATGTTTTTTATACAAATCTTTCTGAGTGGACCAAATGAGTTAAAACTTTGCACGCTTATGTTTTGGACCCCGGCGCGGAACATAGGCTACTTTTCGCGGCGATTTACTAGACCCTTCTATTGATTTGTTGATTTGTTTACTTACATCTGGGAAAATGAGGCTTGACATGCTCAAACCAATCATTTTGCTATGATCATGTAGTCAGGGGATGGTAAAGCTCATTTTAATCTCAATGTCGGGAAAAGCGGGTAATTCGTTTCAGTCTTTTTGCGCAGAATAAGCTTAAAAGCATAAGTATAAGTAACTTCTTTTTAGCTAAACTGGAGTCTCGAGTGAAACCGGGATCGCCGGCTAGTATATATATATATATATATATAGATGATGATTGGAATCATACATACTCAAATGGAATTCAATAATATTTTGGGCATAAATGTTTAACCGGAATAACTGATGGTGCCATATGACTTGAAACACTTCTTTACGCAAGCTAGGCTGTGCATGCATAAATTCAATATCTTTACTCTTACCCGTCCCGTGTGCTTGATTACGTGCTTGAAGACAATGTGGCTTAGAAAGACTTTAATTCATTTTGTTTGTGGAGAATGGAATCCAATAAATACAATGCTTGACGCGGCGCGTATACCTCACAGAACCGCATTGGCTGCGTTTACAGAAGTGAGCAAGGCTTACGGAGCTGTGCTTACGTTTCTACACATTCACGCGCGTACAGTTCTACTTAAGTCTTGCTTCTCTCCCACTCTCAATTAGCAATGAAACTTACCTAGGAAAGCCGAATGTTACAAATGAAGTGCTAGAAAATGTACATTCTAGAAGCTCTGCCATGAGAAGTCGGTGAGCTTAGACGAAAAAAGTTCTGGCAAAGGAAGTATAAAAACGTTTTTCAAATAGTTATAGAACTGCTAATGAAATGGTAGCTGCTCGAAAACAATGACTACTGTGTGCTACATTTCTGAGCAAAAATTTTTTCCGATTATTGAGTAGAAGACCGAAAAACCGAGGATTCACTCAGCTATCTCTTTTCGGCGCCGTTTAAATGACAGTAGATCCTTTGGCAACTTTTTTGCATCGAAGCTTATGGGTCACAGACTTGCATGGATTCAGAGCCATACCTTTGCAATAACTGGATATGGGTCGAAACCCATGTGGACCGTTTTCGCGGGCAGATTTTGAGGTATCCGCTCAACGGATTCGCTTCTGCTTTCGTCCAATATGCGTCCCTCTGCTTCGCAGAGGCTCCATTGGCTCGCTCTACTATCTAGGCCCTACTTATTCTCGCATAATGATGGCATTGGAACTCACCGAGCATTGCCGACTATCACGGACAAAATGTAAACAACTACTCATTCCAAAAGCTTTTCTAGGTGAAATCGGTGATTTCGCGTGGGTGAGACTTTTTGCAGGAGAACAAACGCAAATTTTTATAGGTTTTTGATTACCCATGGTTTTGACAGTTGCAATAAGAACAGCAGGCACCGTGAGCTACATCTTTGTGCAAAAATCTCGTAAAATGTGCTGATAAAAGCTTGGCAAAATGGCCATTTACGCAAACAATACTTTTTGGCGCCGTTTTTGTAAAGTAATGGACTTTTGAACACTTTTTTGGGCCTAAGTCCATGGCTTGCATATTTACATGGCATAAACATCCACGACTCTGCAAAAAGTGGAATTACGGACCCAATTTTGCGGCTCAAATGCAAAGTGGATCCGTTTGGCGCGCAGTTTCTGAGGGATCCATTCAACGAATCTGCTCGTGCTTTTGCGCGTTGGACTTTCATGCGGGTAGCACGCGCTGTGCCAAATTTGAGCCCAGGAGGTTGGCTGGAACACGCTCTACGAATTTCGTAACAGACACACTCTCACACATACAGACAGACACACAAAGTCACGTAAACATCCTTAGCCCGTTATTATAAGTTACTAGTTGGCTTTCCCGGTCCAGCCCGGGCCATGGTTCACCGCACTGCGAGCCCCCCCCCCGCCCTATATGGTATGGATGACTTACCTTGGGACGTCCGCTTGGAAACCGCATTCTCGTAATCCTTAGGTGAAAATGAGCTTCACCGGCCTCCTTTACATGAGTATGGAAAATGCTTGATTGAACATGATAACCCTTCAATTCCTTAGGAAAATGTAAACAAATCAATAAATCGATAGAAGGGCCCAACGAATCGCCGCAAAAAGTAGCCTATCATCTGCGCAAGGGTCGAAAACATATGTGTGCAAAGTTTCAGTTGAATCGGTTGAGTGGCGCGCGTTTCTATAACGCACATACCCTCCAAACTGACAATTTTTGAGTTTTATATATATATATATATATATATATATATATATATATATATATATAGATGATGAGAAAGCTGCTATGCATCGAAATTCGCTGTGTTAGGCTTTGACCATATGTTACTTGTGTTACCCGTGTCACCTAGGTTATCAGTGTTACCCGTGTTATTAGTGTCGCTCGTGCTGTCAGTTTTACTAGTGTTACTCGTGTTATTCATGTTACCCGTCTGAAAGAATGAGACTGTATTGGTGGTCATTTCACCACTCAAGAGCAATAGCGGTAGCACTAGTAACATTATCAAAACTAGTAACACTGGTAACATTAGTAACATTAGTAACACTGGTAACACGAGTAATAGTAGCAAGGGTAACACTGGTAACAAGTAACATGGATAACTGGTAATGGACGGTCACAGATTGGAGCTGTCACACATAGAAGATGATCACGCTGAAAGGGAATCACAGTTTTTATGAAATGAGTGATTATTGCTTTTTATGAAATGAGTGATTATTGCAGAAGCTTCCAAATTTATTAGGTGATAGAACTTCGTGACAAACAAAAATTACCCTGATCTAAGATAACTTTCGTTGGTGCTGCTCCTTCTAGAGAAGTCAATCTACCCAGCCTTATTTTTGGCAGTTGCTGCACATATATATCCCTCCAAATTAGCCTCAATCCTTCCTAAAGCAAGCTTAACTCCTATTTTCCAAGACTGATCGTGCGTAACCTTGGCTGGGCTGCAGTGCAGTAAGGTAGCAGAACTACTACTACTTCCTCGTGACGTGCGAAGAACCTAGATAAAAACTCTTAGTTCTTCCGAGATCGAACATCGGTAGATACTGATGATCTAGAATCCTCTTGCGAGCCGAATATATCCTGACTTCCCACAGGCTTTTCTTTGCTTTCTAGAAGAGTCAGGAGCTTAGATATTCAAAGTAAAACACAATCTCATGGCTTACCGGTATATACCTCATTCGACATGGCTGCTTTGCAAGCATATATTTTAATGAATGAACTCCTACTAGCCTTGATGTCTGATAAATCCAACATTTTATCATAAAAAGAGGCAACATCCATGATTTGTCAATAAGATCGACACCACTACCAAAGGGCCGGACGTAAATCAAGCGAATTCATTGCCTACCGATTCTCCCGACAAGATAAGTGTTACAACATTGCATGCCGATTGTCTTGCATTTCAGCATTTCCTCCGGCATACTCCTTTCGTCAATCGTCGCAATCTAACCGAATCAGCGACTTCGCTTTGCTGACTTGGAACAACGACGCGACCCTATCGTTTTACGGACTTAAAATCTCCATATGGCCGAGGTACGTTCTCACCCTAGCAAAATGTTTTTGCGAGGAAATCCACAATGCGCCTTTCAAGTCAAGTTCTTTCATTGGCTGCGGAATAAGGGTGTAGAAGGCTAGTATATGCAGAAGCTCAGTTCCATGAAGAAAACGTCTTGCCAGTGAAATTCATTGACGAACATTAATTTTTTGTATAGATGTTTTACAAGCAATATCTTTCTGCGAATAGAAGTAATCGATAACCCAAAGCAAGAGCTAGCAGGGCCCATCCACCATTTTTTCTTTTTCTTTCCTTTTCCTTTTTCGGAGCTCACGTCAGTTGTAAAATTCTTATAATTCGTAAATAGGCATGCACACATGTGGAGTCACGGGCTCATGTTACCTGGACGACAACCAATAATCACCTTGCGCGCACGCGTTACGGTAGCCGATCGCGCACACGCCATAGTGCACACCTTGATGGCTACCTGCGGTTACGGTAATAACTACATCAGGTACATTGAAAAACCCAAGAATGGATGCAAAACCTGCAAAAACAAAAGGCAAGCCGCAGAATCTCGCTAGAGAGGCATGCCAGAGCTACAGTAACACAAGTCAAAGCACTGTCTCGAAAACAAGCGAACAGTCTCGTACAAAATGGGCGTGGCTTCATTATGGTAAGAGCGACACCTACGCTGTAAATGAATGTTTCTTCTTCATTTCACTTCGTCATATCATATAGATAAGCTATCAAACGGTATGCTTTTAACAGTCACATTATCCGTGCGCACGCAAACCACCTACGCATAGAGCGGACTGTAATGTTAACGCAAAGGTCTGGTTTCCGGAAGAAAACATAACGAAATGGCGATGTCAGGAGATATGAGAACAAGCTGCATGCGTGGGAGCGGTGGTGGATTGTATATTTAGCAGAATAAACCCAAGGAAAGAGATTCCCTTGTAATTTTTTATGAGCTGGAACTAGAGAACTTTGACCTAAACAACTTCCATGCCGATTTGAAGATACTAAAAATGAATTCTGTGCAAAAAAAACGAAGAAAGAAACAATTTCATGTCAAAAAGGATAGCAAAACCATGTTGATAGCTTGATTTTTTAGTTCCTATAAAAAAATAATCAAGTCTATTAATCAGCGCTGTTTCTCAATGTTTTCAGAGGACCACCTGAATCTTTTATTCTACTAAACATTAGTCATTAACCAGCTGCAAATGGAGACCCTCTGCCCGTCTGACATCATTATTTAGACGTGCAGCTGTTAGTTTTTTCTAAATGTCAAAATGTTGACACTGCGCTAAGACCGAGTTCTTATGCAGTTGATACGAAAACCAAGAAGATAGATCAAGAATTTGATGGCATTTTTCGTTTTTACCTGGTATTTGGTGAAATTTAGAAAAGTGCAAGTTCAGCTCAATCAAAGCAGGGTTTCTTCGCAAATCCCTCCCCTACCTGATGTTCCCCCGGTGCAAAAATTTGCAGAAAGAAGAAGTGCATGGGACACATGGGAGCAGCTAGCCTTATTTGTGCCGCCAGGTGCGTTATTCACTTATCCTACAAGTCGCGAAGAGAATCGATTCTCCTTTTGCCTCATCGTGTGGTGCCTTCCACACTCTTAACTCGATCATTTCCCCCCAAACAAGCAAGGTGTAAGTGAGCCCTGTGCCCCCAGCCCCATAGCCATTTGTCCACTTAAAATGATCTATTGGCAGTAGGAAGATAGGTGGATACTGGCTAAACATATGTATGTAGTCCGTAAAGACACACTTTACACCGGGGGCTGTTGGGTCGGTCGGTGTATGTGTGTGTTACTCTGCCTTGTCGGCCAGGTATGTGAGGGAGTCCGGGATGCGCTCGGAGTGATAAATGATGACAAGCACGGGGGGACAGGTGCGTTGCTACTAACACTAATCGACTCCTTGTCGAACAAACGTTCGGGGGAAACTTAATGATATGCGCAGCCCAAGGGTATGGGGTCAGGGCGCCAAAAAAAAACTAGGAAAAATTTTAAAAAATATACCTCAAACGGTTTCTCGCCGGAGTGAATTCGAATGTGCTCCTTCAAATGATGTTTGAACTTGAATGCCTTGCCACATTCTGGACATTTGAACTTCCGCAAAACGTCGTCAGAATCGTTGACGACTCGCCGTAAGGCGGATTCTGCCGCCGACGGCTCACTCGCAGCTATATCCATTAGACCGAGTAGCACCTCCAGTGCGACCGCGATGCGACAATCTAGCTGCTGCTGCGACTCTGAAAAGGCGCAGAAATGAGAATGAATCATACACACACATCCTCAAACATCGGCGGTTGTTCCTCTACCTGGCTAATGCGATCAACGCGCATGCGGCCATAACTATGAGGAAAAACGAGCACGAAACTCCCAGGACTATTAAGACAGCGGACTGATGCAATTATTAAGGTGGAAACACACATGAACAACTTGTCGGCTGAGATTACGAGGCTATAGAAGAAACGGGGAAGGGGAGAGGGGGGGACAAGATCCTGGTCCGATATGGGAATATCCGGGATTGGAAGTTTTACAGAAAAAAAGGGGGGAAGAGAAGGGCAATCAAGTTTACTTTGAGACTTGCCACCAATAATCGTATCCAAAAACTAAGTCTCAAGGCTTTCCAGGTGGAAATAATATTATCATATTGACAGGAACTTACCTACAAACTTGCGATTTGGTAGAAATGTAACAAAATATCAAAGTATACAGATTTTCTTGTTAGGTATAATAATTAAAATCGTTCCATGAAATCGAATACAATTCTTTTGAGTGAAAAGATGCCTTCTTGATTTTTGGCGAAAATAAGCTTACCTGATAACCTTTAAGATTTATAAGAAAGACAGCTACAACATCGCGGTATAGATTTTGCGTTTTTATTTTACCGCAATCAAATGTCAAGAATTCGTGCCGAAATTCAACAAAGAATGTCAGCGGATCGCCGCGAACACATGCAGTAATCGAAAAAAGGGCAGAGAGAACCCTCTTGGGACGAGCGGACTTTGCATTTAACACCTCTCCAAAAGAAACTATTATAGCCGTTAGCAAAAACTTCTATTTAGAAGGGAAAAGTGCTGATGGACTTAATTAGGTAGAATAAGAATGAGGATGCTATAACTAAGCGGAACCAACAGCATTGTTTTGATTAATTGCAAAGTTGAACGCCACACAAAACACACTCGACGCGGAGAAAAAGTGCTGCGAAATTGGTGAAGAGTGCTCGAAATACCGTATGAATAATTATCAATGTAAAAATTGCTAACAAGCACTTAAGGGGGCCCCTGGCGATCGTCGCAGCAATGTGTGTGTGCCCTAGTGCGACAAACAAACGATGGCGACGATGGCTTAGCGGAATCGCGGGAGCTTCAGCCGAGGCTCTGGGAACGCGAAGGTGAGATGAGGACGAGATGGACGAGATGTGTCGTCCTGGTGGGTGAGCGAGAGCGAGAGACGAGGTGAGGGATCAATGCCAGTCTCACCTGCGGGGCCCCGCCCCCCGCCACCACCACTACCGTAGCACTTTGCCGTAGGGAGCAATTAAAACTCGTGTGTGTGTGTGTGTGCGGCGAGTGCGTGGGGTGCGTGGACGAGCGGCTACGCAGTTTTTGAAGTGAGCGCAAAAAGGTCGAAATCAACAAAGGTATGCTTAAGGCACGCTAAGTGCAACTTGCAGACTAATAAAATTTCCAAAAACAGAGCGACGAGTGCATTTTCATGTAAATTACAAGACAATCTCAGTGACTCCACAAGTGAAAATTTGTTCGAAAAATCTGAACCTCTTTGGGATTTTACTTTGTAAGATTACGTGTTCATAGCAAAAAAAGGCCTTAGTCTAGGAATACACAATGATTTGATCTGCAATTTATAATTGAAGTGATAGGTTTTAGAAAGCTTATGGACTGAAAGGAGCTCACTATTGAAAGAAAAAAGTGGTGTCAAAGAATCCAAAAAACTTGAGTTTTCGTTATGTCTCAATTCAATCGCTCATTTATGTGATAGACACTACAAAACTGATATTCCAGCGTGATTTACTTCGCATGATTTTGGATTTGAAGCAATTTTTAAAGAAGAATTTGAGCTACTATTTTACTCCCAAAGAATTGAAATAGACTGACCAGCTTTGGCCATTTGATCTAACTCGAACAGTTTTTTTGTCCAGGATTTTCAAAATTTTTTTGAATGAATTCATATTTTCTCAGGATTGAGCGAGTCAAGTTATTTGAAGTCTGTGATTTTGAGCAAAGAATTGTGACTAAAGTCATTGGAGCAGTTTTTGTATTTTCTACCATCGCTGTACCATAAAACTCACTAAAACGAGAGCTGCAGGAATATTTCAGTTACCATTCGACTATATAAGAAAAGATGAGCACCTTCGCAGATGTGGAAAGGGTAAAAACAGAAAAAATACCGAATATTCGCAGTTGGACGCAGAAATGTGATGTATGAGTCTAGAAGGTATAAAACAGATGTTTGTGAAATAAAGATCAACAAAGGTCAGGCGATGGAAATACACCCCCGGATGTTTCGCAACCCGCATCGCTCGCTAAGGTGACAATAGTCGATAAGGAGTGAAATATGGTTGAGGATGAGAAGATGAGGAGCGGGTGATGGGGCTAGTGGTGGGGGAAGGACAGGAAATCGGCCTCTCAGGTTTCTTATTATCCGTGGCCAGGGGGCTGTTTGTGATGTGCACGTCTAATTGGACTCGCAGGGATTGCGTTGTGAAAAGACACACACAGCTTTACAGGACGGGAGGGGGGGGGAGCGGATGAATGTGTGGATGTGCCAAAATGGTCAAGGGGAGAGGATGTGCCTAAGGGCTGCCTATGAGTCGCCAGCTAGCTGCACGCTAAGTGCGAGGAGGAGCAATGGTCAGCGCCAATACGGGAACAACTAACAAATTGCTACCAAGACAGGGTGGTGTGGCCGGGGCGGAACCAGCGAAACGTACGGGGGGAGAGCGCATCCTGGAGTTGCTACATCTGCGCAGGGAACGGGAAATTCCAATGTCACGGTCGCCGCTATCTATACACAGGACCGGGAACGAACAGCATAGCAAATGTAGCACATCAGCCAGCGCATCTCGTCGAAGCAAACAAGCAGCTTCTGGTGTCTCGAACACCGGGTCGAGACAACTCGGCTTTTTTCCAAACGACGATCAGACGAATCGGCGCGTGTTTACCAGAAAAGCCTAGGCATTACTCATCATTAAATGGTGTTTCTGCGATGATTTCTTAGCAGCAGAAATGATGCAGAAAACTAGCGATGAGGTGATCTGATACCAAATACCCCCGACCTTAACCCTAAGAGCTAGCGAACTGGATGAGATTACTCTACACCCATGCGGATGCGCCGACTTAGCACCTAGGAACTTGCATTTGCGTCGTATATGCGTATCTGTACGGGTTGATGATATACCGGTATCTTCGCTGCTGACTCGGGTTACTCGGGTTATATACCAGTTGCACCTCCACGCGTATCTCCGTGATTTGACGACCAGCGCTGACAACGCTAAACTACACTAACAGCTCGTCTTCATCTTCGCTCCGAACCGACGTAAGAGATCATATAACGCGAAGGGGAAGGAAAGGTCTATAAGTTCTTTGAACTAGTTTTGTAATTGCGATTGGGTGAGGAATCATCTAGGTGGGATAAAAATTTAATTTCAAATTCCCTTGCTCTATAATGAATTCGGAATGAACCTGAGTATGAGTATTACCAATTTTCTCGAAATAAGCTCTTTTCATCCATTACAAAGAGCTTAACAGTAAAATTTTCTTGGGTTATGCGGAAATTATGTAAAATTTTTGGAAATGCGCAATGAGATGAAGTTATTGAGTAAGTATGAGCTCCCACTCATTTAAAAAGCTCTTTCACAGACCAAAATTTCAAAAAATTTTCCGCTTTTTTCGCTATTCTCCATACAGATTTCTTCGATAAGAAATTGTTTAAAAATCGCAATGAAATGACAAGAGGAATCTTATACTATGACACCCATTTCAGTAATTCTACAAAACTCGGAATTTTACACGATTTTCTAGCTTTGTTTGCTGATCCTCAATGAAATTATCTCGCTGAATCCACGTGAAACACTAGTTGTAGAATTTATTTCTAGTGAAGATGCTGAGACTTAAATCAAAAAATCATTGCGAATTGAAGTTGAAGCATTGGCAAACTGAAGAACTCACTTAAAAATTTTCTGACAAATGTTTCTATCTTATTGAGAACTGGACGCTAGCCAAACTTAGCCTAGCCCGAAACGCTAGCTCTCAGACGTAAAGCAATTCGATGCATTTAATACACGAAGTTCTACGAATCATGAACCTCTTAGAGGACGAGTTCACACACAGCATCGTAAAGAGGAAGACATGAAGAAGAAACGAGGAGAAGAACCGAAGAAGACCTGTGCGCTCGCCCGAGCTATTACGTCGAATCATGGGGCCGTTGTGCGAGCGGCCGCGAGACTCGCCAAAATCGTCAAAAGAAGCGAATTCATAAACATAACGTGAGATCGAACATGTTTGGCGCACTACACCAATTTAATAAGCAAACCAGGAACCCGCATCACCTCACGGGGGCCGGGAAGGGCGCGTTTGCGCGCGGCTCGGGTGGTCGAAATGAGATGTTCTTGTCTCGATTACGGGACCAGATAGGAAAGCATAGAAGAAGTGAGGTGGACGAGATTGGAACAGGAGGCTTAGGTGATCAATCTGATCACTTGAGGAAGAATCAGGGGAAGTCATGGGAAAGTTTTGGGTTCCGGCAAGCAGCGAGCACTAAAACCACTGGGTAAAAATTCGCTCTCTTACACATTTGAGCTATAATATTGGCTACTATACTAACTAGATAAAAAGTAAGTCGCGGTTTCACAGAAAAACTACATATTAAGATGACAGAAGACGATTTTGGAGATTTACATGGAATAAGAAATCTATCTCTAGAAAAAAGCGGAAGAGGTGGCGATATTACTGTAGCGTACTGTAGCCCTAAAGTACTGTAGTTCACAGATCAAATGTGGATCAAATGTAGATCAATTGTTTGTGCTGCAAGTGTAGGTACACTCCAGGTAATAGGAAAGTAACAGAAGAGAAGGAATGAGTTGTGAGCGCATGAAGAAACCGATGAGTCACCGCCATCACCTGATTCCTGCACGACCGCAGCTTTGCATCCAGATGGGACCACCCGCCCCGACGACCCCGGCCAAGAAGAGGACCCGACCGTCACCACACTTCGGACCCAGATGGTGATATCCACTGGTATGGTGGGCGGAGCCGAGTGGAGCACATCGTGTGCGGCATTATCCACGGTTAAGTAATTGGATGAGCTGGAAGAGAGTGCGGGCTGCCGGACGAGGCAGAAGACACGCGCACACCGCGAGGCAAACGCTAATGAGGCGATGCGCCAGGTAGATCAAATTATGCCCCTGCCAACGACGTCGACGCGGGAATGCGCCCTGGACGGAATTTTTGGGCAACTAGGACTGGACTTCGGAAGATGTGAGTCATGCAGATTAGCGGGTGAGACTTGCTCATCTTTCACTTTGTGCAAATCTGCTCCATTTCGAAATCATGCCCTGTCAAGTCGTGCAAAAATTCTGAAATTTCGTGCTGGAAGATACGGACTTGGATTCGAACTGATTTGGCAGACAGGCAAAAATCCACAACTTTTACATTTCCCACCAGTGAGTAAGCCTTATAAAGGATGGTCTGAGAAACTTTTTGCTGAAAGGCACATCGTAGAATAATTTCCTCCTCAGAATTACGTGTGGAATTTACATTTTGATATTTTCTTACCAACGAAACGCGAAAGTTTCTGAATAAAGTGAATGTTCATTTCCTTTTATTTGTCAACCATGACCTCAAAAACCCTTTCCAGCACGAAAAGGATACATTGCCCTCCCCTCCCCCCCCCCATCTCTTTTTATGTGGGTTTAGTGGAAGAAAATCTTCTACAGTATGCTTTAAGCATGAAATAAACGATACATGATGAGCATTCAACTGTTCTGAGGATTATTTGTTTCTTCTCTAACTTCCAGAAGTTTCCATTTTTGAACAATCTCAGCAGATAGCAAATTTACGTTCAATCTTTTCCAAAAAATAATAGAAACTGGGAAAATGGGCTAAGAAAAGTAAGCGAAGTAATTACAGTAATTATCATGCTCGCCATAGGAAAGCCGCAGCCTACACTTTTTCCCAGCAAGAAATCTCCAGGAAAACTTGTGGATTGATCCGAAAACATAACGGCGATTAACAACAGATAAGCTGCTGGGAATGTGCATGAGAATCGAAAGTTGTGGATTGAACGGAGGGAAGAAAGTGAGCGAAATCGACGTGAATGAGCGGCGAGTTCACACGCTGCTAAACGGCGAAGAAGAGCGAACTGTGGGCCGGGACAAAGACTGGCGAGTTCTGCGAGGAAAGGCCTGAAATCAAAAGCAGGTGGTGATGAAAGGGTCGAAGCGAAGCGAGGAGCGGTTCCATTCATTGTCCATTTACAACTGCCAGACGTTCAAGTACGCACGGGAGGGGGGGGGGGGGCGGGAGGGGACTGGCGCCAAAACAGCACAGCACAAAGTGCCAAATATGCGGGTCCCAGATGAGGTGCGGGGTGTGAGAGTGAGGAAGGCCTGTAGCTGCGGTGAAGATTTTTACGATGACTGGCAGCAAGCAGGTGGCGATCATCCATCCGCCGGCATTTCAAATACCATTGCTGGTTAGACCAGGTGTCCGAAAACATGGACGTGCCGCAAGCGCAGACGAGGCGAGGCGTTAGACGCGCGGAAAAAACCGAAAAACCATCGCAGCGCCAGCAGCATTGAGGAAGAACTGAGGAATGGAATGCGTCTGTGTGGAAATGTCGTTGACAGGACTAACATCGGGCCGCAGCTGATCGTCGTCTCACAAAAATGTTCGGCCACCAAATAAACATCGATGTGCCTTGCAATTCGAATGTTATAGGGGGTAGTGGTGGGTGGGTGTGATGATTGGGGCCGAGAGAGATCTGAAGCCGTGATGAACTTTCTCCTCGCTGCTTCACCTTCGACGGAACACATTCACTAGCGAACGTTATCAACGAAGACGATCTTCCGACGAGGCTCGTGTTGGCGCACGCAATTAGCCGTGCAGCACGATAAGCATCGCTACGACAGATTGAGACGTCGAAGAGATATGAATGTGTGCGTACACATTTATCCATCCTGGATAGGAGAAGCCATTCGTGCGCCATCTGATATGTGATGGTGATTTTGGTGACCCTAAAGCTAACGATGGGGGATGGGAAGGGGGAGGGAGAACACCGTGCAGAGAAAACCTCAAAGGTCATGAAATACAGTTTAGCCATTTGTAACCTCATTTGTGCACTGCACCAAAAGTGGGTCATAATACGACATGTGTACTCCCAGGCTTCATAATTTTTCTCTCCTTTTAGGTGCCGCAATATGTAAATTTTTATTTCCGATTTTTTTTTGCATCAGATAAGTTCCAGTGATATTTGTAACTATTGAGGCGTCGTGAGGTCCTGGACGGATATCAGCCTACTGCATAGTTCATCCAACAATTTTCTTTTTTGCATGACCACATAGCAATTTAATTTGGTAAAATAAACAATTTTTCTCGTTCTCAAATTCTACTATACGTTTGACCAAAATTATAATTAATAATTCAATCATTTTTTCAAGGGCATAAAAAGACTAAGCAAACAAGTTTCAAGTGAAAATAAAAATTATTCTACTTATTTGAATTAGAATCCTATAAAATGCGTCCTAATATTCTTTGAAAAATCTGAATTCCCCAAATATTTTTCCCAAAGAACTTGAGAACAACGCGAATTTCTCCGCTCCCATCAATATAACACAAATTGACGCGCAGATGTTGCATAAGGTGTGATGTGCAGACTGCGAACCAAAGAAGAGTCGAAGGTGTACACACACAGCAGAATCCAATTTAGGCCACAACGACAGCGATTCCTCAACGGGGCCCCAAAACGCGCTTCTTGACACCTGTTCGATGACGGCAGCTGTCTCTCCGTTTCGCATTTATGACAACAATGAGAATTATGGCGAAGACGACGAGGACGTTGAGACGCGCGGACTTTTGCTCAAAACCACCTTAGGGTGTGAAAACCGCCATTAACCGTCTTAATAGACACATCAGTCGTACCAATAAAAGAGCGCTGTGAACAATATGGTCGACGGTGAGTTCGGTTCCACCAAGAATTCGTGGGGACACCCTGGGAAAGTCCCGAGCCCACAAGAAAATTTGGAAGTTCTGGAACTCCTCTAGAAATTCCGAAAAGGATTCGCGATGTTTCCAGAAAGGAGTAAACTAGAAGAAGGGTTTCTTCCGGGTAAGTTACCAATCCTAACCCAAGTGGGTAGACCGCTACAACCACCCTTTGAAGATTTCACTCTGATGTTAACTCACCTTCACTATGCACCTGTTGCGAGTCTACCCAAGCGAGTAAATGAAACCTACTGTGATTCAAATTTTCTTATGCACCTGAGATAACAAAAAGTATGATTATTGATCGATCTAAAATGATATCCTACACTTTCTCTTCCAGACTTACCCAATCAACTAAATGAACCCATCCTATTTCCCCACCATCCATGACCTGATGATGATGACCTCGCTCTTAAAGCCCATATATTATCGCACAAATAAGGTGACAGAAGGTTGGCTGTCGAGAATGTGTCAACTACTACCGTAATTTACGTGAAGGTGCGCCATTTCGTGACGCGTGTGCACCGTAATTGCACCACCAGTACTCTGCGTTGATACCACTGCT